CACTAAACAATTTCTATAAAAATTGAATTCTTTATTTAATTTAATGCAGACCTACTGTTTTGAAGAAAACTATACATTTTTACTATAACCATTTTAAAATTTGATAAAATTTAAAGATTATTAAACGATTTCAACGAAAATTGAACATTTTTAATTAATTTTGTAGAGATCGACTGTTAATATAGAAAACATGAATGACAAGGCAGTACATCGTTCCATAGTGTTTAATATTCTTAATTGAAGCCGTATTAGATGAGTCAATGGTAAATACTATAGTCTCTGTCTGCATTGAAAGTGTCGACTTGACAAGCATCGAAAGATCTTTCATACGTATTTACATGCAGAATGCATGATTTCGATGAGTCACACAAAATCGGCTGAACAATAAGGAATGAGCTCGATACCGACTGATTTTTTCAGTTCAACGAGTCCACTGTAACAAACTAAAATTATTTACAAATATCCACTGAAACAATATACAGTAACATTGCAATTAATTGTCCAATTATATTTATTATTTAAGAACAATAGTATAATCAGTAGTTAATTAATACTTGCATAAATATTTAATGACGCAAGTGAAATAACTGTTGAGTTAACAGTCTTGCTGAGGTGATCAAAATTTTATTTAAAATGATATGAATCTTCTTCCATTTTAAAAATTTTACATTAGTGAAACAGTTCTGTATTTTTTGAAAATTCACGAAGAGTAGAAAATTTAAATGATCTAATTCTAAATAACAACCAATAAGAAATTTCCTTTTCATCTACAAAGAATTGCAAAGTTATTAGTACAATTATTTAGAACAATTTTAAAACTTTTCTCGTAATTTGCAAAAAAATTGAATATTATTTATGCGAATAATGGAAGAATTCTTCTATGAAAGAATTGAACACTCACAAGATTAATATCTAAATAAGTTAAATTAATTTAAGAATAATACCTAAATTAATTAGTGAAACTCAGAACTCCAGAAACATGATCTCATTAGAGGAATTTGCAGCAAAGACCAGCAAAGAAGTCTTAAATACTTTTGTACTTTGCTCGAGTGTCTCAATTTCGTCGTAAATTTCAGTGGAAATTGCAGAAATAGAAACAAGTTTACAGAGAAAAGAAATAATTGAACGAAACATTCCAAGTACTCTTAACGAAGGCAATAATCGAAGCCGTAAGCGTCAATGAACGATGGAAATCGAAATTTCGGTAACGACAGAGAATGAGGCTAATTTGTCCTCTTCTAATTAGTGGAAGTCACGGGAGCATGTCCAGTAAGAAAATTACCACTTTCCTGACGGATGGAATCCGTAATTGCAGTACAAGAGTGCTCAACCGATCATTAAACTCGTATTGAACTAAAGCATTCAGTCGATATTCGTGTACATAAATAACTGTCAATTTCTAGGGAATTTCATTTCCTGCCCTTTACCATTTCCGGTCTTTAAATTTCATTTCTAACGATAATGATTAGATGCCGGATGTTTATGCATGAGAAATGTGAAGCATTAAGGTGCATAAAATAAACATAAAAGCACGTGACATGTGCACTTTTATGTTCGTAATTTGCAATATAATTAATGCAGTAATAAATATAATAAATACAGTAATATTGGAATGCCGAATATTAATACAAGTTGCATTCGGAAATTTCTATTTATTGTTAGTACTATAAAACTAACATTTTATGAAAAATAGGTTATTAGATAAAATAAGTTGATTTTGAAGCGAACGAGAAATTGCGTCGATGTGAAAAAGTTTCTTCCAATTATAGTCCCTGGCTATCGAATTAGAACCACATACGAAAATTTCACTTTTATGGCTATAACATTATGTCATATATGGAAAATTGTCTTAGGTCATGCAAATTATTACTAAATACAACGATAACGATATATACATAGCAATTTGTTACTATCGTGATAATAAATTGTGTGGGTGATGAGCGATTAAGGGCCGTGCGAGCGTTTACGTTAGGCTCGAGTATCGATAGCGCGTCAGGTGAAATTTGAATGCCATAGAAAATGTCTGCCTACTCAAAAGACTAGTTTACAACTCTCCAAACACATTATCTGAGTTGAAAAGAATTACAGATATTTGGGAAAATAAGGAAGATATAAAGCATATGATCAATGTATACGGAGCATGTCGCAAGCTGTGACCAAAGCAAAGGAAATACAAGATATTAACATGTGTTGATAATGTTATGTACAGTAGTAGTTATGTTAGTAGCTAATAAATATCATTACAATTTGAATAGGCCTTTTAATTTTACAGAAAACGTGAAATGCTGAAAATTTATAGTAATCCTAATTTGATGGTCAGGGACTGTAATGTTGATCTCATTTGACTATGTCATTTAGGATGTTGCGAATACTTGATAATAAAAAATATCACATTGAAATATAGTATATTTAGGTGTATTGTATTAAAGATATTAAAAAAGAAATAAATCGATATTTTAGTGGTTATATAGCAGCACAATGTACCAATCAAAATGTAAATTTGATTAAAGCCTTTTGCGAATACCTCTGAAGCTATGGCCAAGCGGTACAATTGCGAATTCCCCAATTCCCACATTTCCCAATTCCCATTTTCTCCAATTTCTACAATCTCCGATTCCCACATTCCCCAATTCCCACATTCCCCAATTCCCACATTCCCCAATTCCCACATTCCCCAATTCCCACATTCCCCAATTCCCACATTCCCCAATTCCCACATTCCCCAATTTCCATATTCCGCAATTCCTACATTCCCCATTTCCCACATTTCCTAATTCCCACATTCCCCAATTCCCACATTCCCCACTTTCCACATTCTCCAATTCCCACATTCCCCTATTCCCACATTTCCCAACTCTCACTCCCCAATTCCCACATTTCAGAATTTCAACGGTCCGTAATTCCCACATTCCCCAATTCTCACATTCCCCTATTCCCACATTCCCCAATTCTCATATTCCCAAATTCCCAAATTCCCAAATTCCCAAATTCCCAAATTCCCAAATTCCCAAATTCCCAAATTCCCAAATTCTAAATGTCCAAAATCCCCAAACTCCCAAACTCCCAAATTCCCTAATTTCCCCAATTTCCAAATCACCTAACCCCCAAATTCCCAGAGTCCAAAATTCCCAAATTTCCAGATTCCTAAATTCCCAAATTCTATGGATTTAATTTTATGGAAAACGTGAGAATGCTGAAAATTTATAGTGGTCTCAATTCGATTGCCAGGGTCCACCTAGTGGATGGCGTAATGTAGATCTAGCGAAGCAATAATTTAGTAAAACAATAATTGCATTATAGTAAAAAATTGCATTATAGTAAAAACCACCTAGAGCACCCAGACATAAGCTTCACATCTAAAGAATTAACAAATTTTGAAATATGAAATAATTTATGACAAAATGACCGATTTGAGTTAAATCTGCCGAAAAGGATAGTGAACTCTGTAACGTGATACTAAACTCTGTTATTTATATATACGAAGTATAGAGTTGTATCAGCGTTATTTAATGGTTCGTTAACAATGACTACGCAAGCAAAATATTTAGCATAGATGGTAAACGTTCTCTTTTCAAACTTCCTGTGCGACCAACTTCCTGGATCCCACCACGATTGTTTTACCAGGAAATATCTTTGATGGAATGTAAATAACATGGACGAAGAACAATTTGAACATTTGGATGGCTCGTTTCTCTTTCTGACGCGAAATTAATGGCAATCCTTCTGTGGAATCAACTCGAACGAATTCGAGCTTTCTTCGATAAGAATATTCTGTCCAATATTTGAATCCACTTCGTTTGTTTTATGATCGGAGACCTCGCTTTTATTTAAATCAACTTTGGAGATGATAGTTTAATTTTCGGAAAAGATTGTTTGAAATTTTTGTGATAGTGAAAATAAGGAAAAATTATTTATAAATATTTAAGAAATGCGATAAATGAATGTAAATCTACAAACTTAGCAAATTTCTAGATTTATAAATTCTTTTACTGCATTTTTAAATTTCTAGATTACCAAACTGCTAAATTTCCAAATCTCTATCTCCATATGCCTAAATTATCAAATTCTCAAATTACCAGATTGTTAAATTTCAAAATATTTTCAAATTGTTATGTTTGCAAATTCTCAAATCAACCGATTCCTAAATCTTCAAATTCTCAATTTCGAAATTTCCAAATTCTCAGCTTTTCTAATTTACAAATCTCCAAATTTCAGAATTCTCAAATTTCTCCAATTTCTAAATCTCCAAATTCTTCATTTCCCCAATTTCCAAATCACCAAACCCCCAAATTCCCAAAGTCCAAAATTCCCAAAATCCTAAAATTCCAAAATCCCCAAATTCCCAAATTCTAAAAGTCCAAAATCCCCAAACTCCCAAATTCCCAAATTCCCAAATTTCCAAATTTCCAAATCCCCAAATTTCCAAATTCTTAATTTCCCCAATTTCCAAATTACCAAATCCCCAAATTTCCAAATTTCCAAATCTTCAAATCTCTAAATCTCCAAATTCTTAATTTCCCCAATTTCCAAATGACCAAACCCCCAAATTCCCAAAGTCCAAAATTCCCAAATTTCCAGATTCCCAAATTCCCAAAATCCCAAAATCCCAAAATTCCCAAATTCCCAAATTCCCAAATTCCCAGATTCCCAGATTCCCAGATTCCCAGATTCCCAAATTCCCAAAATCCCAAAATTCCAAAATCCCAAAATTCCCAAATTCCCAAATTTCCAAATTCTAAAAGTCAAAAATCCCCAAATTCCCAAATTTCCAAATTTCCGAATTTCCAAATTTCCAAATTCCCAATTTCCAAATCTCCAAATTCTTAATTTCCCCAATTTCCAAATCACCAAACCCCCAAATTTCCAAATCTTCAAATCCTCAAATCTCCAAATTTCTAAATCCCCAAATCCTCAACTTTGTCACCAATAAATAGTTTTATTTATCATTTTCAATATAATGAAACTAAACTAACTTTGCCAATAAATGCATTAACCTCATTCTTTCCGACTTACCGCCATTTTTACTCATCGATTGAGGTTATCTCATATTATGATACATCCTGTAGCAATCACGTTCCATTTTATTTACGGACACCGACAAAACCATAAACCCTCGATAGGAATCGTTTGGCAAAGCAAAATATCATTGCATAGCGAAAACAATTCTGTTTGCATATCTCGCTTATGAAAGGAAAACATTTTCCGCGTTTGAATCGCTGTTTCAATTTACCCAGTTCGAGATTTATCGATAAATGTGTTCGAGTTCGTCTTCGCGCAAATGAATCTTAAACATTCATCTGAAGAGGATAATTGCAATCGTGATTTGCTAAATCGTTCCTTTCAAACGTACTGACTTCATTGTTTGTTACGTAAATTGGGAAAAACGTAAATGTAGGAAATTGTTTGATTTTCATGCAATTTAACTTTATCTCTCCACGTGTATTTATTATCTGCCGTAAATAAGGAATGTGTGAAAAATATTCTGAATGTTTCCTGATATTTTAACAAAGTAATGTGAGTTTGATATGGTAGATGTTTGTACGTGTGTGTTGTGGATAATTGAATTCAAGAGAGGATGAAAGATTTCAGTGAAATATGGAGAAATAAATTTGAAAGGAGTAATAAATAATAAGTTTGTTTTCATTTTTTGTACAATTGTTATATTGGATGTTTTACATATGAGAAGTGAATAAAACATGTTTTTTATGGTATAACGTTTTCATATTTATTACTAATATTTTATAGAGTGTGCATTATTATTATTGAGCGCTGAGAGAAGTCATTTATTATCGACACAAATTATTTGTTACATTTTCTTCCATTTTATTACACTCTTCCTCGTATTTTTCGCTACGTATTTTTTATGAATGAATTATTTTATATCTGAAATTCAATATTTTTACAAATTTTCTCTTTACAATATTTTCCATTTTTTACCACATGTATTCAGCATCTCCCTTGAATTATTATTTGGACTATGATCAAATTTCGCTGCTGCAAATTTTGATTACAATATTTCTCTTTATTTCTTCTTCATATTTTTTCAATTACAATGTTTCTTTAGTAGTACTCTCTGTGTACGTTATATTTATTTTGTCAGTGCATAATTGAATATCCTATTTGATACAAATATTTAAATTGATATGTATTCAACAATTATTATTGCAGATTTTTCTTATTCGACTCCTTATAAGAAACTTCTTATTCAAAAGAAAGTGTACGTTTTTATTGTAACAAATTTTGAGTCTTATGTCATATATTGGTCTCAGAATATTGTTATACCTAAAAGTTATTGTAATTATTATAATACTATGAATTTTTACTATGAAACATTTCTAAAACAAACAAACATTGTATCCCATTAAATAACAGTATAATAATAAACAGCTTTTCACAAGAAATAACAGGAAAATAATACACAGTTTTTCACATCAAATAACAAAATAATGATAAACATTTTTTCACAACAAATAACAAAATAATGATAAAAGTTTTTTCACAACAAATAACAAAATAATGATAAACACTTTTTTACAACAAATAATCGAAATTTCACATCAAACATTAATGATAAATAATGTTTCATTTCAAATAACAAAATATTGAACATAAATTCAAATGCATATTTATTACATTTAATGTTTGCCTAGCATAACTCAATTTATATTAATAACAAAAATTACGATTAATAAAATTAGTTGTTTAAAATATTACAACGAAGTAACATGTTTATTAAATTTTATTATTTTCAATGTTACAGAATTAGAGGACCATCGAAAATCAGAATATTCCAAAACAAGTAACAGAAACGTTTCTTTAAAAAAACATTAAGAAACGAAGAAGCAATATTTGCGTTGAAAAAAAAGTTTTACACAAAATAAAGAAATATTGATAAAGAAGAATATCGCAAACGATCGACATGCATCTGAAGACATTTTCCACATTCATCTCAGCGAAAAGGTGATTAACACTTTCTCGTATTCCCACATTTGTGGGAGAAAGATCGAGGATGGAGCTAAACGTGTTTGTCATCTGTATTGGGGTAAGTATTTATTTCTCATAATAAAATTATAAAATTGTAAAAGATCTCAGTTGAAAAAAATGTAATAATAACTTCAGATGACAGAAGAAAGTAAACAAAGTATTTACTACTTTATTATTAACTCCTTAATTTACAACTTTCTAGGCAGCTACGTCACAGTTGCCTAGAAGCTGTTGCAGTTAGTTAATTATTGCTACAACGTCAAAACAACTGAAGAAAGTTAAAATGTTTAGCATGTTTTGTCTTCAGCAATCCTTGATTATAACTACAATTGAACCAAAATTTAATTGTAGTGAGAATACGAGTCTAGTGTATCATATTTAAAGTATGACGTGCATCATGAGTGTGATACGATATTGTGTGACAAGGGGTTAACAAAACGCTTCGGATGTTTTTATTTTATACCACTGAACGATAAGTTACTATATTGCTATCTTACATTATCTTTAAAACTAAAAAACAAAGAAATATAGCCAACATATTGTCTTTTAACGATCACACTGGGTATGAATCAACCCCAGCTAATTTTAGCCACTTTATACCCTGAAAATCTGAATAAATACCTTTTTCAAAACTCCGGTATTTTTACTACTTTTTCCGCAAACTCTTATATCTTAAAAGTGGTCCGCTAATTTTTCTGTGGAAAATTTTTTCAATTTTTCCTGTTTCTGAAGTTGTTTAATACTCAACGTTCAAATTTACTGACATCAGCTATGAAGTATGTTGAAACAACTTTTAAAGATTATTTCTAATTTTTTTTCAAGTTAAAATAATAAGTAGCTTCTTTGTACGAAACATTTTTAGTGGGGTCGTAGATGTCCTAGTGTGCCAGGTATGTTACTCTGATAAAATGTTAAATAATAGTTAGTAATAATTAATAGTTAATAGTAGTTAATAGTTAATAATAGTTAATAGTTAATAGTAGTTAAGAGTTAATAATAGCTAATAGTTAATAATAATAATCGTCATAATTTTATTATTGTATTTCTCCTCTAATTGACCTATCACATTTTTATTTTACCACAAACTCTCACCACAAAAATAATTTCGCAATCTTCCCACAAAAATAATGCTATTTTCCTTCAGAACGTATACATAATTAAGTAAAAGGAAAGTTGAGAAATAATATGGTAAAGAATGTCAACCTACGTCATTCACGAAAAACGTCACCAGTAATTTGCATGATGAACAATATCAAATAACAGTTTAAAAGAAAAATGATTTTCATTTCAGCTTAATTTATATTTTAATCGAGTAACAGACAAATCATTATTGCACAAGATGTATTCAATAACGACTATGAATGGTATACTAAAAAGCTTTTGATTTATAAATTAAAGTTTTATAAAACATTAAATAATACGTTTGGTATTAGAATTCTAATCTTACCATTAGTTTGTGTTCAACGTTCGTTCGACACAATACGTGTGTTGTTAACGAGAAATTAGATCTCCCTTTTCTTGATCATTGCGATCCTTGACATTGACGTACGTTACTGCGTGTGGCCGGAAACAACAGCTGGGACAGCGATTTCCGGTTCGTGTGTCTTACAAGTAGACGTATTACCATCACGCGAATTTGCATTCGTATTGTCTGAATCGTCCTTCGAATCGGGACAGTGATTTAATCATTGATGCATTGCGAAAAAGGTTCGCAATTAATTTACTATTTATTAATCTACTTAATTTACTATTACCACTGTAAATAGTAAATTTTACTATTACTGTAAATAGTAAATTTCATAGAAAAACAACTGATTTAATTTTTGCATTCATAGAAAATTTTTTTGAAAAGTTACCAACAAGATAAAATAAAAAATTGAATAAACTAAATTATACGCTATATATTTTCAATTTTGCTATTTTAATTTAATTCATAATTTAATATTCATAATTAATTCTTCGTAATGAGGTCTTTAAAAGACGGTTATAATATGAAATACTTTTGGAACAAAATTTTAATATGAAATATGAAATATGAAATATGAATTTATTTCTTGCAATAAATGCAGCCATGTTATGGGAATGAAAATAGAAATCATATAAAGGGGTAGGACATATGAAAGTATTCGTGGGATATATGAAAATAGAATTGTGAAAAATATTGAGGGGACATATAAAAATAAAAATGATGAAAAGTAGTGGTAAAAGAAATTGTTTATTAAAAACAGCGGTATATTTAATTTGAAAGTATACTATGCTAACTTGAGCACATTACCTTTATTTTGCAGAACTATATTTTTCAGATATTCTCTCGAATCTTTCATTTTAGGTTATGAATGTAAGGTTAGGTACAAGTTTGTAGCGTTCAAAAAAAAACAATTACACTTCTTACTTTTTTAACTTTCATTTGATTAGCCAGAAAATTATTTAAACATAGAAGTAAATAACTAATACTACTTTTGCTGCAATTCTAGTTATAAGAGTTCTTCAGCCACGAAAGTGATGGCTACTAATAAAATTGTCAAGCAATGAAACTTTCGCTGTCAGAAATATAAATCGAAACAAATATAATATACATATTATACATATTATAAACAGATATAATACACATATTGTTATCTCCTACTTAGTATTAGTTGTACGATTTAATCCCCTTCAGCTGTTACACAAAAAATGTAAAACCATAGGGACGTTTGTACCTCAGAAGCGTATATTAGAGTCACTACATGTAATATGGAACAGCTGCGTTTAATATACTTTAAGCTGTGTCTACACTTTAATAACTTGAGGCATAAAATAAATTGCCAAGAATGCAAGATATTTCATGAAAAATAAATAGTGATCATATTTACAATTAAGTATCAGCTGAAAGTTTATTATTGAATAAGCTAATCATATAAATCACATAAGCTTATTTCAAAGCATATGTAAGACTATCATATGTTGAAGCATTTTAGTAAATACAAGTTAAAATAATACTTATACATAATTTATCGTTAGATATGTTTGCTTTTTAATATTCCAAAAAGACTTACCGTTAAATTCATTTCCTTCTTAGTATTCTTATTTATTTGTCGAAATACATACCCAATATAAACACGTGTGATATAACTTTGAATATGTACCATGTCAACATCCATATGATGCACGTTCGTGTTAATGCTTTGTAGTATTACTATATGCTACAAACCACATTTTTACTATCATAAATACATAATATTATTGTGCTACAGCGTTACATAATATCATGTAAATATTATTATTGAATATATAATAGATGGAAGTTGGATCATGTTTAGCTTCTGTTCTGAATTCATTACCTTATAGAACTCTACTTGAAGGAAGCTCAGATAGAATCAACAAGAGAAAAACAAATTCTAATAATGGAGATAGTAATGGAAAATAAGGTTTCAGTAGATAGACTCATAGATATAGGAATCATCAGACGATGTCAATGATGCTGCTAGTGATTATTATGACACAGAGTATAGGAACGTATGGAACGTATGTACCATATGGTACATATGGTATGTGGTAATTGTAAAAATAGCACTAACGGTTTTTGAAATGAGTTCGATGCATTCCTTGCTTTTATTGGTGTCATGAATGTGGTGCATCAAATTCCATGCCAAACGTGTAGAAGATTAATGTAATATGTGGAATATAAATTATGAAAAGTTGACGTGATTGATTTGTTCAATGATTTATGCATTTTGTTATATTACATTCTAATTCAGTGCCCTAAGTATCGCACTAAAAGGGAGCAGTATAACATCTCAAACATAGCAAGTATGCTACAAAATGTAAATTTGTGCAGGAAAATTCTTACCTTTTTGATAAATATCGGCCTTTATTATGAAATGTAATGTTAATACGTTTATCACATAGTCCCAAATGTGGTCACTAATAACCTAAGAAGGTGCATGTGACCTTAAACATTCAATTAAAAAAAAAAAAATAAGGTATTTGTTCAGCTGTGTTTTATGAAAATAAATATTCATCTTCCATCGTGGAAATAAAATATTTTCAAATGTATTTATAATTTTCCTGAATGCTCCAAATTAGCTGCCATTTTCTCAACATCCCTGTTTTGTTTTACACTTCTAACTTCGATATACTCAAACTTCTATTTACTCAACTAATATGAAATGTACTAATGTAAATGTAATATAAAATACTAATATAAACTTAAACATCTTAAACTTAAATATCTGCTTATTCACCTAATACAATATTTATTAATTATAAAGCGTTCTCAAATTTGTCTCATTAAAGAGGAGCACATCTTCACTTTCAGCAGACAAACCCCTCAAACTTAAACATCTTGTTCAACTAATATATTTATTAATTTTAAAGCGTTCTCACGTTTATCTCATTAAAGCGGAGCATGTCATCACTTTCAGCAGACGTTTAACCTTTAACTGCGGCTGTGGTTTATAAACCACATGCTGAAATTATAGCCAAAGGCGTACGTGATATATGAACAAGCTAATTTTTGCTAAGATGAAACAGCTTATAACTAAAAATAAAACAAACACAAAACAATTTTTAAATGGAATATCAAGATTAAAATTACGATTTAATTAAAACTTGTTAAAAGTACAAAAGGTAACCGCAGTTGAAGGGTTAAAATCAAGTGTACTGCGGTTAGGTTACGGCGGCAATGAAATCAGCGGAGGATCGCAAACCTGTGGACAGATTTCGTCGTCATTGTGGTAAAAATGCGGAGACACGAGTTTACAATAAGGTTCGTGTTTGCAGAGGGTATTGGCGTTTGTCATACAGATATTACGTGGTCGACGAACCTTGAGGATTTCCTGGAAACGACGGACGCGCCACAAAAGAGACTCCAAACGCGGTTCCAAACTCATTTCACGTACAGTTCCACCTCATATCCCGGCGAACGTGGAATTTCATTCTATACCGATATGCAGAAATATTATCGACATTTATCTTTATTAGTTTTACGATGCTATTACGCAAGAAACAGCTGTAGAAGCAATTAACCCATTTTCCTTAATTAAAATCAACCAAATTGATCTACAACCCCTGGCCATTAAGTTTGAATTGTTTAAATTGCTTTCGTTTTAAAAATGAACTGCCTAATATTTTCCACATTTTTTACCACTTTTGGTCAAATTAAAGAGGGATGGAATTTTAATAATAAAGCTTATATGTACATAACTGGTAATATTAACCTCTGTCGTATTTTGAACAGTGCTTGTAGGTAATACTTTTTTCCATTTTTTATTTAAGGCTTCCAAATTAAATTCTATTTAAACTTTAATTTCGAATTTGTTTATTTTTAATTTTGGTTCTGCATCAAATCATTTTGGCTGACATTTTAATTTTTAATTAAATTGTTTTTATTTAAGTTTAGGTCTTGCATTAAATTATATCAATTTATATTTTCATTTTGAATTAATATGATTAATTTTGTATGTATTAAATAATTTTTTCATTGATAATTTCTATAAAAATTGTGTTGATTTCATTGTTTACATAAAAACTTGTTTGCATACAACTCAGGAAATGAACACTCTGTATTCTCTGCTTTAAAATGTACTATCCCAATTAACTATCATTACATATTAATAAATACGTAAAAACCCGTTGAATTTAAGATAAGACTTTTCCTCTAAAATTTTCTCTGATAAAAAAACACACTTCACAATAAAATGTCGTTAAAATTAACGTTAGAGGTATTAAAGGTGAAGAACGAAGACCAATAAGCGAAGATAAGATGTTTTCTTACATTCAATGATACTACACGTTTTCTTGCAATGACACAAGCTGTTTTCTTGCATCCACAAGAAAGATTCCAGCACAAGAAAGACGGTTTTTCCTAGCATTGCCCGAAGCCGATTCGCATCTTTTCCTCGATTGAAAAATTATTTCTTCTCTAGATAGAACGATTTACGCGAAGCGGGGAGTGGCTTCATATCGAATACTTTTCTATCGATGTAACTAAGGTCGTAAGGAAAGTTTAGCTGTTGCGTCCTAGATGGTATTTATCAAAGTCCGTCACGTAGGGAATACGTGCGTGTTTTGCGGATTTATCGTAGTCATGTTTCGTCATATATGGCTGTTACATCGGAGATAAGACGTCCTTACCTCGAGCTCGGTGAAAAACTCTTTCTCTTTTCCCTCGTGCGCGTGATATAACAGGTGTATGAATAGAATTTTAGGAACACTTTACATATGCAACACTGTTTCTACCAAGAGGTGTCACACACCTTTCAAATTTTAACTCAAAATTATTTTGTAAGTTGAATTATTTCTCCACAATTAAGTTTTTGATTTTGTGTACATTTTTTTATATTTAATTCAAAAACAATAAATGTTTATTGTGAAAGACAACTATTATGTATAATGCAGCATGGAAGTTGTTATAAATATGATCGATCAATTTTTATAGAATTTATTAATGAAAAAATTACTTAGTATGTATAAAGTCAAATAATATTATTTTAAAATTGCTTTTTAAAGGTGGTTGGTTATTAAATTATTCTCCATGAAGAATAAATTTTCTTCGAACAATATCAACACTTTACGAAGTACTTTACAAAGGTTAATTTTTAATCATTTTTATTGAAAAACAAGTATTCTATTTTATAACAAGTTACTACTAGCTTAACATCTCTATTAGTTATATTCTATAAATACTATTTCATTTGTATTATTAAATATTTTTGATAACTAATATTATTTATGAATAAATTCATACACATGTTGATATTAACATACTACTTTTATACTCACAGAATATTGATATTAACATAGTTTTAAATTCATAAGATGATGTTAATATATTATTTTTAAATTTACAGGATATTGATATTAACATATTTTTAAATTCATAGAATATTAATACTAACATATTACTTTTAAGTTCATAGAATATTGATGTCAGAATATTTTCAAATTCATAGGATATTGATGTTGACATGTTACTTTTAAATTAATATTTTGTTAATAGTACAATTTCTTAAATGAATGTGATAATAACACTTATATTCAGTTGTAGGTTAATATGTTTGTTAGGTTAGGTTAGAAACGAATTCTCTCCAAGTACTATTTCTATAAACATAAAACAAATAAAAGAAAATTGCGTAACAATTTTTCAGAATACAAATATAAATTGATGTTATAAAGCAAACAATTGATGTTACAGAGTCTGATGATAGCATCGATAGCCCTAATCGACACTATAAACGCAAACCCAACGTACTACGTGAAACCCATCGAGGACGAGAACAATTACGCTGAAGTCCTGGAGCTTTCGCTTTTGTTTTACGAAGCACAGCGGTCGGGAAAGCTGCCAAGGGACAATCGAATCCCATGGAGAGGAGATTCAGCACTGAACGATCGTGGTTTGAACGGGGAGGATCTGACTGGAGGCTATTATGATGGTAATTGAAACATTGTATAAGAATTAAATTGCTCGATCGATGAAACAATGACGAAGGAACTGACAAAGTGTACAGTTATTCGGGAGATATCGCTGTTATTCGCGAGAAATATTATTTGCTGACGATACTTCAACAATACGCTGTGTATTGTTGTGATGTGTGACGATGTGGACATTGATAATTGCAAATTGTGAATTAGAAAATTGAATAAATGGAAGGATTGATCATTTGGTGATTAAGTGATTTAATGATTTGACGATTTAATTGTTTAACGTTTTGACGATTTGACAATTTGACGATTTAGCAATTTGACAATTTGACAATTTGACAATTTGACAATGTGACAATTTAAAGATTTAAAGATTGGATAGCAGAAAAATTAGAAAATTGGAAAATTAAAAAACTGAGAAATTGAGAAATTGAGAAATTGAGAAATTGAGAAATTGAGAAATTGAGAAATTGAGAAATTGAGAAATTGAGAAATTGAGAAATTGAGAAATTGAGAAATTGAGAAATTGAGAAATTGAGAAATTGAGAAATTGAGAAATTGAGAAATTGAGAAATTGAGAAATTGAGAAATTGAGAAATTGAGAAATTGAGAAATTGAGAAATTGAGAAATTGAGAAATTGAGAAATTGAGAAATTGAGAAATTGAGAAATTGAGAAATTGAGAAATTGAGAAATTGAGAAATTGAGAAATTGAGAAATTGAGAAATTGAGAAATTGAGAAATTGAGAAATTGAGAAATTGAGAAATTGAGAAATTGAGAAATTGAGAAATTGAGAAATTGAGAAATTGAGAAATTGAGAAATTGAGAAATTGAGAAATTGAGAAATTGAGAAATTGAGAAATTGAGAAATTGAGAAATTGAGAAATTGAGAAATTGAGAAATTGAGAAATTGAGAAATTGAGAAATTGAGAAATTGAGAAATTGAGAAATTGAGAAATTGAGAAATTGAGAAATTGAGAAATTGAGAAATTGAGAAATTGAGAAATTGAGAAATTGAGAAATTGAGAAATTGAGAAATTGAGAAATTGAGAAATTGAGAAATTGAGAAATTGAGAAATTGAGAAATTGAGAAATTGAGAAATTGAGAAATTGAGAAATTGAGAAATTGAGAAATTGAGAAATTGAGAAATTGAGAAATTGAGAAATTGAGAAATTGAGAAATTGAGAAATTGAGAAATTGAGAAATTGAGAAATTGAGAAATTGAGAAATTGAGAAATTGAGAAATTGAGAAATTGAGAAATTGAGAAATTGAGAAATTGAGAAATTGAGAAATTGAGAAATTGAGAAATTGAGAAATTGAGAAATTGAGAAATTGAGAAATTGAGAAATTGAGAAATTGAGAAATTGAGAAATTGAGAAATTGAGAAATTGAGAAATTGAGAAATTGAGAAATTGAGAAATTGAGAAATTGAGAAATTGAGAAATTGAGAAATTGAGAAATTGAGAAATTGAGAAATTGAGAAATTGAGAAATTGAGAAATTGAGAAATTGAGAAATTGAGAAATTGAGAAATTGAGAAATTGAGAAATTGAGAAATTGAGAAATTGAGAAATTGAGAAATTGAGAAATTGAGAAATTGAGAAATTGAGAAATTGAGAAATTGAGAAATTGAGAAATTGAGAAATTGAGAAATTGAGAAATTGAGAAATTGAGAAATTGAGAAATTGAGAAATTGAGAAATTGAGAAATTGAGAAATTGAGAAATTGAGAAATTGAGAAATTGAGAAATTGAGAAATTGAGAAACTGGAAAGTTGAGAAATTGAGAAATAGGAAAATTGCGAAACAAAAAATTGAGAAATTGATAAATTGGAAAATTGGAAAATTGAGAAATTGAGAAATAGGAAAATTGCGAAATAAAAAAATTGAGAAATTGAAAAATTGGAAAATTGGAAAATTGAGAAAATGAAAAATTTGAAAATTGAAAAATTGAGAAAGTGAAAAACTACAAATTCAATTTAAAAAAATTTTTAAATTAAGAATTGGAATTTCTTGGTAAATTGAATATCTGAAGCCTTGAAAATAAAGGACAGGAAAATTGAAAGGTTAAAAAATATAAAAGTTTAAAGATTTCAAAAACTTGAAGAAATGGAAATTTTAACAAAATGCAATTTTAACAAGAGGATTTCGTATTGTTCTTCTTAAAACGTAAAATTAACATAGAAAATATATGGAAATTAATGTCGAAAACGTTTTCAGCTGGTGACTTCGTAAAGTTCGGCTTTACAATGGCTTCAACGACCACCCTTTTGGCGTGGGGTGCGGTCAGTTGGCCAGAAGCTTACAACGCAGCTGGTCAACTTGATGAACTTCGCAAAGCCATCAAATGGGCCACTGATTACTTCATCAAGTGCCATGTAAGCGAATACGTCTTCTACGGACAAGTCGGGGATTTCTCTTTGGATCACACCTTCTGGGGAAGACCCGAGGAACTCAACACCACTCGACCTGCCTACAAAATTGATGCTGAACATCCTGGTATGAAAGCTTAACTTCACACTTAACCTTCGAGGGTTTAATACTAAATCTACCGTCATATCATATGTACTTAATTTGAAATGAAAAATGTAGTTAAAAAAAAAACAACGACAAAGCATAATTACACAAGTACATACCTATAGTACACAAATTATTTCTTTCTGGATGAAAACCAATGGAGATTTCAAGAAAAACAGTTCAACAAATTATGTAACTTATATTGGGGCTATTAAAAAGTATTCAAAATTTCTTTGATGATTTCAAAATTTTTCAATGAAAATTCAAAGGACTTTTTTTAAATAGGGAATGGAACAATTGCCTTTACGTTGGAAAAAGCGTTAGAAAATGATGGATTTTGTTGATTAGCATTTAAGATTTCTTTAATAAATAAATGTTATTCGCAAGCAAACATGATTACTTTTCGGTCCCTCTAATAATAAGAAACTTGTGGAGTCATTTGACCGGTTTGGTAGTTTTAATATTAGAGTCAGACAATGTTACCTTTAACCTCTTAGGCACGACTGACCTTTACGCGGTACTGCTTCCCTGTACAACAGAGTTTAACACAAATTGTGTGTAAACGATACAGCACTACAAAAGAATTGGAATATTTTAGAACTGAAAGTTGAACAATTTATGACGTCTTACATCAAAAAGAATAATACATATTCTATATCACTGACCTAATTTCTTTTGTAGGTTCTGATCTGGCAGGCGAAACGGCAGCCGCTCTCGCGGCCTCCAGCATCGTTTTTCGCAACCAGGACCCCGAATACAGTGCCAAATGCTTAAAGCACGCCAAAGAATTATATAAATTCGCTGACAAATATCGTGGATTATATCATGAAGCAATTCGTGGAGCAGCTCAATATTACGAGAGCACAGATTACGGTGACGAATTGGCTTGGGCCGCCGCGTGGCTCTTCAAAGCAACTAATGAAACGGTTTATCTTGAAGATGCTAAACATCATTATCAACAATTCCATCTTGACGAGAGACCAAACGAATTCTTTTATAACAAAAAAGTCGCTGGGGTGCAGGTAATAGATGTACAGTCCCTGGCTATCGAATTAGGACCACATACGAAAATTTCACTTTTATGGCTATAACATTATGTCATATATGGAAAATTGTCTTAGGTCATGCAAATTATTACTAAATACAACGATAACGATATATACATAGCAATTTGTTACTATCGTGATAATAAATTGTGTGGGTGATGAGCGATTAAGGGCCGTGCGAGCGTTTACGTTAGACTCGAGTATCGATAGCGCGTCAGGTGAAATTTGAATGCCATAGAAAATGTCTGCCTACTCAAAAGACTAGTTTACAACTCTCCAACCACATTATCTGAGTTGAAAAGAATTACAGATATTTGGGAAAATAAGGAAGATATAAAGCATATGATCAATGTATACGAAGCATGCCGCAAGCTGTGACCAAAGCAAAGGAAATACAAGATATTAACATGTGTTGATAATGTCGTGTACAGTAGTAGTCATGTTAGTAGCTAATAAATATCATTACAATTTGAACAGACCTTTTAATTTTACGGAAAACGTGAGAAATGCTGAAAATTTATAGTGGTCCTAATTCGATGATCAGGGACTCTATTTTGTCTATGAACGTATTTCTAAAATCTGATCGGATGCATCTAAAAGCGTACACCACATTATTCATTACAGAAAAATGAACAAAAAATGTGCAACAAAATTTATTGATTTTCGCTTCAATTTGTAAAAAAAATGAAGCTTGGAGGTCTGCTGTGTTTTTTGCTGTTATCGTAACGTTTTCTGTCGGGCAACGTAAACGCATATTGTGCTTGCGAATGGAGTTTACAAAGCACGCGAATGTTTGTGGCTTGAAAAAAAACATGATCAAAATTTTCATTGGAAAAAATGTTTTTAGTTACAAAACTCCTGAAATTTTTTCCGATGTATAACTATACATGTCAGGTTATCGAAGCACGTACTCTCGATAACATATTTTGACTTTTCACTTCCTGAAATGCGTGATTAATTGCTTGCACTAATTGCACTCCATTCTCGATATCTTTATTATGTATATACTTGTTGTTCAATGTATTCGCATAAGTAAAAGTTCATGGGTGTAAGATCTGTGAACCTCGTTAACCAGTTTGTCATTCAACAAAAAAAATTATCATGACAGCAAATTATCATAGACACAAACCAAGTGAATCCTCAAATTTGATGTTCTCAAAACTTAAGAAAAAAATAAAAAAATTCTACAGTATAAAGAAAAAATAAGAAATTTCTACAGCATATTTTGTTTCCAATTTTTCTAAAGAAATAACGTGGCGTCTGTTCTTACATTGTTATTTGGATCCAGTATTATTTCCGTACTTTATTAAACAACGTATTTATAAGTTAAAATGTACGAGTGTAATATGAATGAAAACTGAAGCACCTATTGGTTTTGCAGGTTTTACTGGCACAGTTAACAGGCCAGCCAGAATATCAGAAAGCAGCACGTGCTTTTTGCGATTTCTCGGTGCACGAGCAAAAACGAACATCGAAAGGATTACTGTATATCGACAAATTCGGCACTCTGTGCCATGCAGCAAATATCGCGTTCGTTTGCCTGGAAGCAGCCGATTTGCCGAATATTGGAGATCCGCAAGTGTATCGCGAATTTGCCGAGCAACAAATTTATTATATGCTCGGCGGTGGTGGTAAGTGACGTTCGATGTTAGTTTTGGGATTAATTGAGGATTTAGAGATTTAAATATTTGAGAATTTTGAAATTTTGGAATTTTGGAAATTGGAAATTTGGGAATTTGGAAATTTGAGAGTTTGGGGATTTGGGAATTTGAGAGTTTGGGGATTTGGGAATTTGGGGATTTGGAAATTTGAGGATTTGGGAATTTGGAAATTTAAGAATGTGAGAATTGAATTGGGAAATGTGGGAATTGGGAAATGTGGGAATTGGGAAATGTGGGAATTGGGAAATGTGGGAATTGGGAAATGTGGGAATTGGGAAATGTGGGAATTGGGGAATGTGGGAATTGGGAAATGTGGGAATTGGGAAATGTGGGAATTGCGGAATGTGAGAATTGGGAAATGTGGGAATTGGGAAATGTGGGAATTGGGAAATGTGGGAATTGGGAAATGTGGGAATTGGGAAATGTGGGAATTGGGAAATGTGGGAATTGGGAAATGTGGGAATTGGGAAATGTGGGAATTGGGAAATGTGGGAATTGGGAAATGTGGGAAGGAATTGGGGAATGTGGGAATTGGGGAATGTGAGAGTTGGGGAATGTGGGAATAGGGGAATGTGGGAATTGAGGAATTTGGAAATTGGGGAATATGTAAATTTGGGAATTCGGGAATTTGGGAATTTGGGAATTTGGGAATTTGGGAATTTGGGAATTTGGGAATTTGGGAATTTGGGAATTTTGGAATTTGCAGATGTATGATGAGTTTTGGAATTTAAAGATTGAGAAATTTAATTATTTAGATATTTGGAAATTTAAGGATATAGATTTAGGGATTTGGAAATTGGACTTGTTAAACATTTGAGAATTTGGAGATTTCGAAATTCGACTTTTTAGAAACTTGAGAATTTAAGTATTCGATTTGAGTACGTTTTCAATTTCCATAAAATCGAAGATTAATGATGTTCCTAACTTCTATTCTCATCTTTAACCAAGACGGTGCATCTTTTTGCTGCACCTCCTGCAAATCCTCCTCATCCTTTATTTAATTACCTAACCTCTTACTTCGAAACCCGTCCAATCACTTAGCGTAATCTTTCTCCTAAAACACAGAGACGGGATAAAAACTGAATAACCAATCTCCACTATCTTGAATACAGTCTCAAACTCCTAAATTCCAACTACTACAATCCTGACGAAGCAAATGATTTCCGTCTGAGCAACAGTCCATGCCTGAAAGCTTCAATTTGTTAACTGAAACAATCCAAGCCGATAAAGCCACAAGACTCTCACGCTGTTTGTGGTTTTCGTTGTGAATCAGAGAGGGTTTAGTAACGTCTGGGGCTTAGACTCTGAATGAATGATGATGATGAAAAGCGAGGACCTTATGGTCACTGGTTTCGGAAGGATATTGTTAAACGTAAGACATCACTGGACCGTAAGACTAGCACAGACTATAGTGATCTAAGAATGGGCTTAGTTATGCTATGGCGTCGCTGTATCGGTGCTAGAAGGATAAGGAGTAGACCCATGATTTAGCGTGGGTAGAATTTAGGATGTAGCTATAGGATGTACTTGTAAGACTAGTCGAGAAGGATTATATATACCGGTGATATAGGAAGGGATTTATCTAAAATATGGCGTTGGTAAGTTGAAACAAACAGGATTACAGAAACCATTACTGTCATGGAGTTAGGAAAAATGGAGGTATCGATTGTCGATACATGTGCATATTACTGGTGTAATCGTTAATTAAAATGATATTTGTTGTCAAGTTATTTAGGATAACGTGTAATCCTAGCTTACATGTATGCATAACATGTAAACGGCATATGTCATTATTAGTTTTAGGGATATAAGGACTTTAGTTAAATTTATGATTCGTATATTATAGCACTTTATTATTGGTCTTTTAAACTCGCGGTATATTATAATTTAGTATTCTGTATTCTTATGTGGCGTATTCTATCATCCATATATGTGTCATATGTATATTTTAATGTGACATGTTCAATCATTCATATGGAACATATATGTATAGTATATATTTTAATGTGTTAAAATATTCATATGTGTATTATAGATATTTTCATATGACATATTATATTACACATATGTGACGTATGTATACTTCAAATTTGAAATATTCCACTATTCATATGTAACATATGTATATTTCAATGTGTTATGATGCATAAGTAACATATTTTAATGTGACATGTTTAATTGTTTATATGCAACATATATGTATAGTATATATTTTAATGTGACGTGTTATAATATTCACATGTGTATTATAGATATTTCCACGTGACATGTTATATGACACATATGTGGCGTATGTATACTTCAAATTTGAAATATTCCACTATTTATATGTAACATATGCAAATTTCAATGTGATATGATCCATATGTAACATATCTATATGTTAATGTATGTTTTACCATTAATATGGGACATTCTATTATCAATATGTGTCATATGTACATACATATATTTCAACCTGATATGTTCTATTATCCATATGTGTCATATGTACATAATATGTATATTTCAACCTGATATGTTCTACTATCCATACGTAACATTCTTACATTCCAATGTAACATTCTACCATCCACATGTGACGTATGACTATTTTAATGTAATATACTCTACTATCCATATGTGATAATATCCCTATATGACGTCATTCCAATTCATATGTACTTACTAACACAAGGTCATTTGTAACAACCGCAAGGTTAACATAATTATAACTGTCATTAAACACCCTATACATATACTTACTTAAACATTAATCTAAAACTTACATACATGTTACATATATGTTACACATATATTACATACGCAACCAGTAACATTCTCCGCACAATTTCTCCACAAATAAAAGCTCGCTGTCTTCTACCACGTGCCATTACTATGCACCAGACAAACAAGCCAAGTTTGGTAGAAAGCAATTTCACCGAAGTATAAGAGAAAATGCACGCGGAACGTTAGGAATAAAAATAGCAACGATCCTTATACTATGGAAATCACAGTAGAATGGAAGACGTTCCACTCAGAGAATTGCTCCGCGAAAGGTTCACGTCAGGAAAACTGAAGTCGAAAAGCATGTCAAATTACGAATTTATGTTCCATCCACTATTTTTCCGAGATCAACGTCAGCGTTATTTATTGTAAGTCGGGTTGCACGCCTTTGTAGCATAATAATAGTGCGCCAGCTCGCGAACATATGGTGTGATTACCGGGTGCTGAAACATTCAGATTTCTAATTTTCATATTTGAAAATGTACCAAAAGATTCTGAGAATTAAAGTGAATTAAAAATGAAGCTGTTTTGAATTTACGTGTAAGAAGATTTTGTATTTTCAAGTTCTGAAGATGACAGTATACAAGATCATTAAAATTGCTAAAGAAGATATCAGTTGGGAGAAACTTTTGGTTCAGCAGGGTCTTTTAGAGTTTGTTTTAGAAGGGTCTAATTATATTACATTCTTAAAATTGTCATCATATAGTAGTTATAATTCCATAACAGAAATTTCTTTCTATAAGACAGTACACATACTCTGACATGCAGACTGTACGAATACTCGCTTTCTTCTCGGAGCTTTGCGTCTCGCACCTTGTGTCTACAACCGAAACATGATGGTTTGACTATTTTTCTATGGGTTTCAGCCCATTTTTAACCCCTTCCAGTGCAACAAGGTCATTTGTAACAACCGCAAGGTTAACATAATTATAACTGTCATTAAACACCCTATACATATACTTACTTAAACATTAATCTAAAACTTACATACATGTTACATATATGTTACACATATATTACATACGCAACCAGTAACATTCTCCGCACAATTTCTCCACAAATAAAAGCTCGCTGTCTTCTACCACGTGCCATTACTATGCACCAGACAAACAAGCCAAGTTTGGTAGAAAGCAATTTCACCGAAGTATAAGAGAAAATGCACGCGGAACGTTAGGAATAAAAATAGCAACGATCCTTATACTATGGAAATCACAGTAGAATGGAAGACGTTCCACTCAGAGAATTGCTCCGCGAAAGGTTCACGTCAGGAAAACTGAAGTCGAAAAGCATGTCAAATTACGAATTTATGTTCCATCCACTATTTTTCCGAGATCAACGTCAGCGTTATTTATTGTAAGTCGGGTTGCACGCCTTTGTAGCATAATAATAGTGCGCCAGCTCGCGAACATATGGTGTGATTACCGGGTGCTGAAACATTCAGATTTCTAATTTTCATATTTGAAAATGTACCAAAAGATTCTGAGAATTAAAGTGAATTAAAAATGAAGCTGTTTTGAATTTACGTGTAAGAAGATTTTGTATTTTCAAGTTCTGAAGATGACAGTATACAAGATCATTAAAATTGCTAAAGAAGATATCAGTTGGGAGAAACTTTTGGTTCAGCAGGGTCTTTTAGAGTTTGTTTTAGAAGGGTCTAATTATATTACATTCTTAAAATTGTCATCATATAGTAGTTATAATTCCATAACAGAAATTTCTTTCTATAAGACAGTACACATACTCTGACATGCAGACTGTACGAATACTCGCTTTCTTCTCGGAGCTTTGCGTCTCGCACCTTGTGTCTACAACCGAAACATGATGGTTTGACTATTTTTCTATGGGTTTCAGCCCATTTTTAACCCCTTCCAGTGCAATTTATTTAACAGATGCGTCAGTCAAGACTAACTATTCAGGGCTATAACATTAAAACGAACAAAGAAAATTAAAATGTTGTAACTATTTTATATTCAGAGATCCTTGATAATGTAACTTATAGGTGGACCTTGAATACTCTTCAACTTGATTCAAAATTTGAGTAAGGTTTGTCTCATTTCAGCTGTAAGTCACAAGTGAGACTTGTCAAGGTACGGAAAGGGTTTAAGAAAGTTCGATTCTCTGACAAAAAGTCGTATCTGCTCGTATCTCGATTTGGCACATACGTGAGTGGTCGGAATAGTATCATACAGTATTTTGAAAGATAAAGACATTTTATTATTTTATAAAGATCATTTTGACTAATTTTCCAAATAGCTCATTAACTGTTATTAGTTGTACCATTAACATAAATGCTTCTCTAATCAGGAAGGAGCTACGTTGTCGGTTGGGGTCGAAATCCACCGAAACAGCCACATCACGCTGCTTCTTCCTGTCCGAATAAGCCAGCTGTCTGCGGATGGTCCGAGTTCGACAAGGATGCCCCGAATCCTCAGATTCTTTACGGGGCTTTGGTTTCCGGACCTGACGAAGCGGACAAATTCCACGACCACAGAGAAGATTACGTGTACACGGAAGTCACGTTGGATTATAATGCCGGTTTTACGAGCGCACTCGCCGGACTCTTGCAACTGCGAGTGAAAAGCATCGCGTAACTCGCGATGACAGATTGTTATGTTGATGCTATCCTTTGCATTTTTCATCGCCGAATTTCTACGGAGAGTTATTGTACGAAAGGTTGTATTAGCTGTGAAATGGAAATTTTGAGATACTGAGAAAGTTTCATGGAAGTTTAATGATTTGTGGAACTTTGAGTGAGACTTTAGTGAGAGCTGTCGATAATGTTGAGATGGAAAGTAATTGAAGAAGTGAACTACGGGAAGAGGCTGATTTAATTAACATGGTTGAACTTTTAGATTTTATAAAAATTTTGTATTTACGGAATGACGTGATATAATTTTTATTTTGTTTTCGGTACTGATTTTTAATTATTGTTGTAAATCACGGGATTTCTTCGAAATTATGTTATGACTTTGTGGAAAAAGTATCTAGTCCGTACAACGTGTCGTGATTTTGGTTTTTTGATTCGATTCTAAAATGTACATATCGTTTTAAGTTTAAGAGCGGGTATGGTTTAACTGAGCGAAAAATTCGTTCAATTAATGTAATTAGCGTCGAACCATTATTAAATTAATTATTATTCTTCAATAAAGTTTGAAATAAAAGATATTTAAACATTCACTACAAGCATTCAATTGTAAATTCTTCGTTAAACATTTTTTCTGTAAAATAACTACATGCGTTTTTATTTTACAATTCACTTATTACATTACAAATTGTATAAATTATCAATTATGCAGAAAATATAATTGTATAGATACAAATATTAAAAAATTCGATTTTATAAATTATCAGTGATTCTATTAAAAAATTTCGATTTTACAGATTAATTATACGTTCGTCACAAAACATACGAAATACAAATTACAAAATAATTTAACGTGAAATATTTTACGAATATTAAATCGTAGTTAAATATGCAAGATTAACAGAGGTATTACATACTTTAGTCGATTTATATAGCACAGTTAAATATTATAAAAATGGATCAGTGTCCTATAACTTTTGAGCGTTGACGTATATCCATCCTTGTCGCGCAACCGAGTATGTCTGTCTTTTACGAACAGTATATTCTCCTTGTCGCACAATATCTCCTAAATTGTACCTCTTCTAGCCTCCTGCTTTTCGGCTACCAGAAGCAACAGTGTTCCTCGGATTATTGTAACATCGGATCGAGCATTTACAACGAACCGTGGCCAGCAAAGTCTTGAACGTGTTCTCTGAGCGCAAGATTTATGAGTACTGCTTGAATAGGTATGCTATGCGAAAAAGCGAGATAGAATGGTGTACAAGTTTCTCCGACTAACAGAGATTAATTATTCATAGACAGAGACGAAACATCGTGATACGAAAATAAAAGGAATTCTACTCTTTGTAATAAAGCGATTAACATATTACGAACTGCGCAGACCGATGAAAATGAGTCTCGACATGATATCGCCAGGTTCGTTTATTACAATGTTGCAAACGGTGTAGTCGGTACGGTTGGAATATATAAGGTGTCCTGAATGAATAGTATAATGTATTCTTATCAAAAATTGAGTGATAAATAGAAAACAACGATTTTTTATTTATTTCTTCAAAAACCGTGTTGAATATTTTACAGCGGAGTAATTTCTTGTTAATTGCATAAATTAATAATATAATGAATAGCACAAATTAATGAACACAATAGACACCGAAAATTTAACAACGCAAAAATATATTTAGTTAATCAATATGTTTTATATTTCTACTTATGAATATTATATATTTATCACGTTTTCGATCAGATCTATCAAGTGATACATGAATTTCAAATAAAAAATAATTGATAATATATTTTAGCAATATTTATGAATTTATAATATCTTTAAATTGTTAAAATTGCAATGTCATACAAATTTTTTTTTTAGATACTTTTATTAAATAATTTTGAACTCAATTTTTTCGAAAATGAATATTGAAAAAATCATTGTATATTTTTCACTTATTTTTTCATAAGAATGTAAAACCATTCAATTATGTTATCCTGGGACTGTCTGTAACATTGTACAAGAACGAAATTGCCTAAATGGTATTGTGCTTGAACTCATTTTTGTGGAGAGAACGTTTATCTACAATGTAATATACTGAATACGTCGTTTCTTATCTAATCGTTCAGATATAGCAGTGGTGATAAAATAATAGCTGTATTACCTTTTTAGTGATGATTCGAGCAAAGATTAACTTTATAATTAGACTTACAAAACGGATTTTGAAAAACCTGTTTCTAAATTCCATGGTTTGTAAAAAACATCAATTTGAACTTCGAACTTTTATAATGAAAATAGCAAGATATTGAAACAGTAAACAATATTTATACATATTACTGAATATTTAGAATAGATAAAAAATTAATTACAAAAACGTAATAACGCGAAATATCTTTTTTATATCGTATAACTCAAATTCGAAGATATTCGTACAAATTTTCAATTTTTTATTATTTTTGAAGTCATCAAGATGTAACAAAATAAAATATTTCAATTCTACACAAAACCTAGTAAAATTAAAGAATAATAAGTAAAGTCCGTATACAATGTAGGTTGCAAATTTTTATTTATTTTGTAACATAAATTACAAATTTTTATTTCTTTATTATTGAATATAAAATACAAATTCTATTCTCTTTTGTATTTTGGAATAGGAATAATATTTTTATGTGGTTACCGCATGGGTAAAAAAAGTAGACAAGATAAAAATATAAAGAACGGTACAAAATAGCAAATATGGATCACACGTCAATCTGGAAATAGCGCTCTGAATTTAGAACGGACGGACTATTTTTCGGTGAACTTGCTATCTTTTTTTTAGCACAGGTCCTGTTATTTAGATTCATGCAAATTAATTTCATTTCAACATGTTTGAATCTGAAGGGATTTTAAGTCAAGAGGTCACCACTTTTTTTATTAAAAAATTACTTTTTGATTTTAGTATCTAGCACAGGTTTTTCAAATTTAAAATTCGAGATAAAATGATTTAAAAATTCATAGTTCAAAGTGAAATGTTTTTTAAAATGAAAGTTTAAAATAAAAGATTTTTTTAAATTCAAAGTTAAAAGTAAAACATTTTTTTAAATTCAAAGTTAAAGGTAAAACATTTTTTTAAACTCAAAGTTCAAAATATAACACTTTTTTCAAATTTAAAGTTCAAAATAATACATTTTTTTAAATTTAAAGTTTAACATTGAATGCAAAAACTGCATTTTTTGCAAATTTTGGAATTTTCCAAATTTATTTAAAAGAACCGGTTTATAAACTCGATTTTTGAAATCCGACAAACCGAATCTATAATATTTCTTTAAGTTCTCTTTCTTTTGAGTGATATACTGAGTGTACGAATTAAATATACACATACATGAATATTAATATAAAACAAAGAAGTGGTAGTAAGAATATTGAACGATTCCGATATTGAATTTCGTTTTGAACATCTGTCAGCTTCGCAACTACAAGGACTCCTCCGAACAAAGCGAAATGCAGATATTCATTCCAATTAAAACCGAATTTGCATTTTTACAAAAGAAAAGTTTTGAACAAACAAGAAAGTACATATATCATAAGCTACATTCTAAAACTTTTTTGACGATAAAGCAGTTATTCAGTCCTTTGAATTACAATGTTGATCTGGAGCGAACAAAAGCACTCTATGGAACTGTGAGCCGTTTATTACGAAATCAGACAACTCCATTTCTTTTTTCATATTTTCTACGTTTTTATGTCAGATACGATTAAAGGAAAATAACAAATAAATTCGTTTTACAGGGAACAGCACATGTTTTAAATGTAAACAGAACATAGAAATTCCAAACGTTAGCTTTGAGTTATTCAAACTTTATGAAAATGTTCATAAATTAATATTATTAGTATTAGCTTATTATTATGATCTTATTATGGTCTTATTATACACTGAACTTTGTGTCTCTTTTTCGTTACAATACACAGCGCGTTTGGAGCTGCAAAACAGTCAGTCTAAATGCCTGATTCCTTTAACCTCATTGAGTATGAATTTGCAGTCCCACGCCATCAAATTAAGACCACTATAAATTTTCAGCATTTCTCACGTTTTCCATAAAATTAAAAGGTCTGTTCAAATTGTAATGATATTTATTAGCTACTAACATAACTACTACTGTACATAACATTATCAACACATGTTCATATCTTGTATTTCCTTTGCTTTGGTCACAGCTTGCGATATGCTCCATATACATTGATCATATGCTTTATATCTTCATTTTCCCAAATATCTGTAATTCTTTTCAACTCAGATAATGTGGTTGGAGAGTTGTAAACTAGTCTTTTGAGTAGGCAGACATTTTCTATGGCATTCAAATTTCACCTGACGCGCTATCGATACTCGAGCCTAACGTAAACGCTCGCACGGCCCTTAATCGCTCATCACCCACACAATTTATTATCACGATAGTAACAAATTGCTATGTATATATCGTTATCGATGTATTTAGTAATAATTTGCATGACCTAAGACAATTTTCCATATATGACATAATGTTATAGCCATGAAAGTGAAATTTTCGTATGCGGTCCTAATTTGATGGCTAGGGACTGTAATTGGAAGAAACTTTTTTATATCGACCCAATTTCTCGTTTGCTTCAAAATGAAATCAACTGATTTTATCTGATACTTTATTTTTCATAAAATGTTAGTTTTTTAGTATGGACAATAGTTTTAAGATATTTAATAAATTCTACAGTGCTAGTAGTGTAACTCCTGGAAAGTTGTTGCAGCTGAGGTGATTTTGAATAACTTTTTTCTTTGCGAAAATTGGATCTGTGGCTTCGTTCTTAAATTATTAACGAAAAATATCGACCTATCAGAACGTGCGAAATTAATTGAAAGAAATTCTAGATGTCCAACTTCCAATATTCCAAAGTTCCTAAATTATTAATTCCCAAGGTTCCCAAATTGTGACGTTCTTAAATTTCCACTTTCCCAAATCACTAGATCCCGAAATTCTCTTATTTTAAATTTTCTACGCCTCGAAATTTCTACACCGACAAATACTAAGATTCTCATATTTCTAGGAATCCAACTCCCAACGTCCCAAAGTTTCTACGTTCCTAAATTCCGAGGTTTCTGAATTGTGACGTTCCGAAATTCCTCGGTTGCCAAATTCCTAAGCTTCTCATTTCCTACATGCCGGAATTCTCGCGTTTCGTAATTTCTACGTCTTCAGCTACTTGTACCATCAAATTCCTAAATTCCTGTATCTCTATCCAATACTCTCTGTCAATATTACAAAATTCTTAGATTCTCGAATTCCAAAGTTTCAAAATTGTTATATTCTCAAATTCCCAAATTCCCAAATGACTAAATTCCCAAATTCCCAAATTCCCAAATTCCCAAATTCCCAAATTCCCAAATTCCCAAATTCCCAAATTCCTAAATTTCCAAATTCCCAAATTCCCAAATTCCCAAATTCCCAAATTCCTAAATTACTAAATTCCCAAATTACTAAATTCCCAAATTCCCAAATTCCCAAATTCCCAAATTCCCAAATTATTAAATTACCAAATTACTGAGTTCCCAAATTCGTGGCAAAAAAAAAAATTAAAAATCACCTCAGCTACAACCCCTTTCGAAAAGTTACACTAGTTAGGCACGCCATATAATGTATTATAACATCGTAAAATCGTCGTCAGTACTATAAAACTACCAATTTAAAAATAAATGAATTCGATGAAATCGGTGGATTTCTTTTTAAAACAACCGGGAAATCGAATCGATGTGAAAGAGTTTCTTCCAATTAAATCTATACTCAAGGGGTTAAAGGAATCACGTATACTATTCAGACTGACTGTTTTGCGGCTCCTGTTACACAGTGATATAAGAATACGGTTTATATCAATTATGTCAACAGCTTTGCCTCAGGTGCAGCCATAATTCAGTATCGTCTGTCATCATATTACTATCACTGTGGGTCGGAAGAACGTTAACATGAAAAACTTCATATTATTCGTTTTACTGCTGTTGATCGCGAAAGTTCGTCTTCAAAACCAGAACGAAAAGAGTAAGATATTTTACTTATGAAAAATTATTGATGTTATTAGTAAATAACGATGAATTTGTGTGTGGTGATAAAATTTAATATCTAAAAAGTATTAAGTTTATTATGATAGTTATATTTTGTGCTGGCATATGTGTATTTTTATTAATTATAAGATTAAATGATTACATTGATAGTTGGGTTATTAACTGCTACATTAATTACTAATTAATAATTATTTACTCAATTATTCTTTACTTTTTAAATACTATTAATTATAAATTTCTATTTCATTATTATTAATTATTATTATTATTTAATAACTGTTTAATTACTATTAGTGTCATGTACGTATTAAATATTATTGCATGATAATTATTTAGTTATTATTATCTGCTAAGTAAGATTTTTAATTATTATTACTTGTTAATAGTAATAGTATCAATTTTTAATTGATCATTATCAACTACTAATTAATTCAATTAATTACTAAAAAAATGTTTAAATTAAGATGAGAACAATTATACTGAGTGCCACATTAATAAAATACCGGTATGAAATTAAAATTAATTAATGAAATGAATAATGCTAAGTTTTCTGTTACGTTCCAATTTATTTAGCGATCAAATTAGAATATTATTCATTCTGCACAACAGTGTTTAAAATAATGATTTAACCAAACACAAATAACCATCATATTAATTTGCACTTCGAGATAGTTAATTTGACTTTTAAAGACTTTGCATATTAATTTCTGTAAAAAGATATAAAATTTGAAAGAACCTTGCACATGCGAATTAATTTATAGTACCTCATGTGCAGCGAGCAGCTTTTAGAAGATAAAATTTTGGAAATCCAATTTTGAGAGACGTAAAATTAATATCTTGTATGATTTAATGCAGAGAACCTTTGCGCATATTTGCACTGCAACGAAAACGAGGTCTGTGTACACCGGAAGTTCCGCTGCCGAAATCCTCCATGCCCCGGGATGCTATATTGCGCGAAATCTCGAACAGGTAAACGTTTTCGTACGACGCAATTTGTACAATTGTAGCTTTCGCTGTTACAATTCAATTATTTCGTGATTAAAGCACACAGCGGTCGAGGTTAAACGTAATACCATTTATATCGATAATTTATAGCAATATAAACGTGTGTGGCCGAAATAAACGAACGGTAATTAAACGGTTTGCTATCTTTGCTTTATACTGTTACTTTTAATTAAATTACGGGGAATTGTAGAGTAATATCCGCAGAGGGGAAATAAAGTTAATAAATTACGTCTGTGCGCAAATGGAAATAATGCAATTACCAGATGTGGAGGAAATATTTTAGAATAATTTAACCGTAAAATTGTTATATGTTTGATAACGCGTTTTGAAATATAAAAGTTTGTTGTGATTTTATAAGAAAAATATTGGTGAAGAATTGTCACATTAATTCTCATTTTATTTTTATATAAATTTGAAACTCATTAATGAAAATTACTATACGTATTTGATAAATATTTTTGATAGTAATAAAATAAGAAGTGTTGAATAATTTTGTCCTTCACAATATTCTGCTTAATGTAGCCATGTTTTCAATTTTTTATTATTGTATATAGATGTTAACTAAAAGAAGAAACATTTGTTCTTAGTTTTAATGAATAATATTTAAAAATAATATATTGTTCTTACAGAATCGTTAAGAGGACCTTCTACCTGTGATAACGTACTTTGCACGAGTGGACATGTGTGTATGCTGAAAGTTCGTGGATGTCGTTGGGATGAAAGTGAGTTTAATTAATTCATTCATATAATACAAATACAATTTCTATAACAAATACAAAAATACAGAAGCACTGTATGCAGTGAAGAAAACGTACTTTAACCTCCTTATGAGTTATGCGCTTCCAAATTATAAATATTATTTCAAATCTTCTTTCTGGAACTCTGTCTATACACATATAGACAATAATTTCTTATTGTATACACTACCGTCCATAAGTATGCGGACACAAGCGAAATATGCATTCGCGTTGCATGAAAGTTATTCAAGTATCTGCAACAGTAGCTAAAATCGATTTTTTTCTGCGAAGTTCAGAATACTGGAACGTTTTTCGATTGATAATTCTCATTTGGAACTCATATCTCGATGGAAAAGAAGCTACAGACGAACTAAACCGAAACTGTCGAGTGCGAAGCGTCACCTCCATTCTTATCTCCATTGAGGGAACCTAAACATCTACCAACAGTTTACAAACACTTGAAACATATCGAAGAACCCTCTGAATACGTTCTGCACCATAGAAATGAAACACAGTAGAAATTAAAATTTTTTTTAGAATCGAAAGCGTTTCATTAGATTCACAAATTTGGACTTTGTACTTCTGGACATGAATTTTACTTTCACACTTTCATTGTATAATTTGTACTTAAAAATTAATTCTATTACGTTATGACACCTCAAAAAAGATAATAATAATTATTACAAATGATATGATAACCCTAAATACCTTTCGTACAAAGTTCAACTATGTTTTATGTAACGAAACCAAGTGTCCGGATACTTATGGACGGCAGTGTATGTTATGTGAATAACTCATATGTAAAGAAATATGTCATGTACAAAATTTGTGCATAAACAAATATGTTACACGAACTTGTGTATAAAAGAGGAGGTTATGTCATTTGAGTGTATAAAATATTTGAAAGTTATATTATTCAAAACCCTCTTAGCACAATTTCTCCTCAACCTCAAGTTTCCACATAAAATACAAATTTTAGCAACTGTGCTATAATTCAAAAAGTACTATCAGTCTATTTACAAGAGTCCCGTATAAACCGAGCTTGAACATCTCCAAGAAAGAGCTCATGCAATATTTTCAATGTAACACGAGTGTATTGATAATTCTCGTTTGGAACTCATATCTCGATGGAAAAGAAGCTACAGACGAACTAAACCGAAACTGTCGAGTGCGTAGCGTTACCTCCATTCTTATCTCTATTGAGGGAACCTAAACATCTACCAACAGTTTACAAACACTTGAAACATATCGAAGAACCCTCTGAATACGTTCTGCACCATAGAAATGAAACACAGTAGAAATTAAAATTTTTTTTAGAATCGAAAGCGTTTCATTAGATTCACAAATTTGGACTTTGTACTTCTGGACATGAATTTTACTTTCACACTTTCATTGTATAATTTGTACTTAAAAATTAATTCTATTACGTTATGACACCTCAAAAAAGATAATAATAATTATTACAAATGATATGATAACCCTAAATACCTTTTGTACAAAGTTCAACTGTTTTATGTAACGAAACCAAGTGTCCGGATACTTATGGACGGTAGTGTACATATAATTCTTCTAGTTATAGAGGTCTAGTCTATAATTTCTTATAGTTTCTTCTATAATATAGTCTATAATTTCTTAAATAATATTACCATATATTAATTCATATATGTGTGCATATATCAATTTGCAAGTCTCCATAAGAATTTTCATCGAACATCTGTATTCTCCTTAACAACTTTATTAAGACTAACTGCAAAATTAATTCAGTTCTATTCATTCTTCTTGCACAACCTTCTTTTCTAAAAAGTTATGAACATTATACATTACTTAAATTATGTTCAGCATTATCAGTACAGAAAACTATATAGAAACAATCTTAATGTTAAAATTAGTAACAAAGTAATTTAATAAACAAAGTATACAATAAACAAAGCACAACAGTTTTCATAAATAATTTGAAACTATTTATGATCAGTTAATTTAACATTTAGTGAAGTGCGAACAACAAATCGCTAGATGCGTATCCCGGAAAGAATACGACGAAGGTCCTGCTTCGTGTGTTGGCTTCAAATGTCCTCAAGGAAGGCACTGCATTCTGCGGGAGTCATTCTGTGTCAGACCTCCTTGTAAACTATTGAAAAGCTGCGGAAAAAACAAAGGTTTCTACATTGATATTTTTTATTAATATAATTATTATTTATTATGACTAAAACACCTTTTATAAATACCAAAAATAAAGCGTGATAAAATACGATACGATATAGTAAATAAATCGTTCAGAACCTAAATGAACTAATTCTATATTTACTGACCTGACTTAAAGAGATGTTTTTAAACGAAGGAAAAATTAAAAATCCCAAATCGATATATAAATTATTATGTGCGTTTCAAACACTCGAAATTATTTCTGCAGATGTGCACGTTTGGTTCGGTAAATGTCGACACTTGGGTTGCCCGTCTGAGTTTGAGTGCTTTTTAAGGAAACCAGAAAACACCTGCCTGAAACCACCGTGTAAACATACTCCAGATTGCGTAACAACAACAGGTAAAATTTAAAACGTTACAAACCTTCTGAAAGTTGAAGTGCACGTACAATGTGTACTTGCATGTTCACTAAAGAAAATTTTATTTGAAATTGAGAATGCAAGCTTGTTTAGAAAACTAAGACTTGTAACATTCTTGTTGTTCATGTTGAATTCAAAATATTAAATATCTAATTAAATTTGATAATATAAATGTATGGTGAAGTCTTACTGTAAAATTCAAAATTTAGGAGTAGTTATTTTATTAATACTTTTGATATCGAATAAATTGCTGACAAATATAGTAAACAATGATTCAGAGTAAAATTCAGAAAACTATATTACAATTATACATATGCATTGTATATGATTAACTATATACATATAATATGTACTATGCCGAAAAAATATAATAACTGTGAACTAATTATAATGAAATACAAATTTTAATAATATAATATGTATATGTAATATGCATAGTACGCTACACATAGTTATAAACAATTTATCGTATCAAAAAGTTCGTGGTGCACATTTGAATTTTTTTAATTTAATTAATACTATTTCTTACAGAAATTAATACTATGAAAATGGAAATGAAACTTTTATGAATAAATCAATTATTTTATCTACGTTAATCTAATACAAAAATAAAAATGTTTGACAGCAGTGAAAATAGTTATAGAAAAAAATAATTCAAATTGAAAGTTAAATGAAACAGCTGAAACATTGTTGCTTCTCGTTAGTAAAATAATAAAGCTTGTTTTTAGAACAGGCTGCTTTTTGTTGAAACACTTTTAAAGAATTTTTGTAAAACCTGGTTAAAATGTATTGATTTTATAGGTCTTTTTACTCTTTGACATTGACAGCCTTTATACATCACTGTTGACAGGTTGGTCGACTTTTTAATTAAACTTCATAATTGTTCCACGGTAAAATTCCTTGTTTCGTGTAAAATAACGAACGCAATTTTCTGTGAAAACATATCGGAAGTGTAGATTAAAAATTTTTCGTTGAAATTAAGTATATATGTATGTAATTTTAAATTTTTTGCTGTGAAGAATTCTCTAAAGACTTCTTTTACTTAATATTTGTTGTCTACATATGTAATACTTTTATGTAATAATATCATGTTAAATATTTATATATTTTGAATATTCGTTAAATTTGCATATTTTGTACTTTTCATGAATTTGCATATTTTTGATATTTGTCAAAGTTATGTATTTTTTTATATTTATGAAATTTGCATATTTGTTTGTTTCTGAATATTTATCAAATTTGTATATATTACATATTTGTTTTTGTATATTTGATATATTTTTTATATATTGTCTTTTTTGACTTTTTGGTACGTTTTGACTGCTTCTCAAAGTAATTTGTCAATCAATACACATAAGGTCAAGTGGGGTAAGTTCGTAAACGGGGCAAGTGCGTATACAGGCTATTTTTATTACAATATGAGCGAAATTTCTCCATTTAGTATGTTTGTTTCCTTGTTTTGTTTCACTATATCCCCTTTTATATTTTAGCTAAGAGTACTTGTTTGCAGTATAGAGTACTTGCATAATTCAGTAAAAAGCATTTTATAGGACATTTGTTAATAATTCTGCTCTTTCCCCATTGCACATGAAATAAAGTTTCAAAGTATTTAACTTCAAGTTACGCTCTTACCCCATTTTCGGGGAAAGTGCAGAGTAGTTTACATTTTAAACAATTTCCTATCAAAATCAAAATGTACAAGAAAAATTAAGGTCCTAGTTAATATTGATTAAATAGTAGTAACTGTGCGAAGCGTTCGATATCGACAGCGTTAAGTATTTACATGGCAGACTGAAAATACTTAACGTATGTTACAACTTTACAAAAACCAGTCTGCACTTACTCCACTTCGCCTTACTATAATTTTAAATTAATCATGTTCTTATACTAAAAACATAAATAAATCAAAAATAATAAACGTAAATATAAAAAAAAAAGTTTGCATACTTATGCTAGTAAAATTTTACATTTAAAATTAATATAATTTAATATATTATTTATTTTACTATAATTCTACATAATCAAATGATATCAAATTTTTTATATGTATTTTAAAATTTATTATTGAATACATAACAATCTAATAAACTAATCTTTGACACAATGTAAAACGCAATGACTATACATGCTCATTCAATACTGTTTCTTTTCTGGCGAATTTTGCAGGAGACGAAATAACGAATGAACACTGTCGTGGATGGATATGTCCGAGGCCGCAAAAATGTTCCGCAAAAATTGTAGGAAACTGTGAATTAGACGAATGCAGTGTAGAAAGAACATGCCAGGAAGTGTCATCGAATTATTCTGTAATTAATACCAAGGTATATTTCTTTCTATTGTAATATATTAAGTATATTAAAATTTGCTATTTTCATCAAACAAGAAAGAACTTATTCTTTTAAATAATTTATAATAATATGTTCGTATAACAATTTCAGTATTAATATTTTAATTGTATTATTCGAATGTTATATTATTCGAAGGAACGTAGAAATTATTGAGAAACAAAAATAAATATTCATTCAGAAATTGATTATAAGCTACATAATTCTAATAAAAGGAAAAACTGTGGTAAAAATAAAACAAATATAAAAGTTTATTAACAGTCAAGTAGTTAATTAATTCTTGAATTAATAATGAAACTTCAAAGAGTACTAAACTTCAAAAACTATACTATACACCCTCCAAAATAATTATTGCTGTAAATGAAAAAATGTATTAAAAAAGAATCATGAAAATTTCAGGTACCTTGGAACAATAGTCAAGAGACCAATGAAAAAATCAAGTGAGTAAAATACGGTTTGCCAATTTCCAAGTTTACGAGGAACATGTTTTATTAATAAAGTATTATTACCTTCTTGAATGCTGAGTACCACGTAGAACTCCACATTCATGGTTGAACCATTTAAAATCGACGACCGAATTGGACGCCATTGAACTTTGGATAAAGAACGCTGAGGGACAAAGAGACTTTAAGGTACAGAAGTGAACGTTGTAACAATTTAATATAATTATGTTTGTACTCAATTGAATGCAATAAAAGAATGTAAATAGTAACTGTGTAATTGTGTTAATACAATGTTCAACTTATAAATTAATACCATTTAATAATTTAATCTATTGCTGGATTAAACGGTGTCAATACAATAATTATTGCAATCATAATAACAATAATATTAATATTTGATCGATGTATTATTCAATTCAATATTGGTAATGTTAAATAACATTAAACGTTGTTGTAATAGTAAAAATTGTATTACAATCATTATTGTAATAATAACGCAAGTAATATTCATATTTATTCAATTCATTCTTATATTTATACATTATATTAATAAATTCTCACAAATTATGTTAATTACATTTTACGTAATAATACATAGATGAAATTTATTTAGAAAATGAATTTTATCATAAATTACTTGCATTTCCGTGTAAAATATACATTTTGTCAAAGTTAAAGGCTTTTATAATCTCATCACTTATGCCTAATCACAAGACATTCAAAATTACAATAATTTATATAATTTATTACGTTGTTTATTATATGAAAACCAATTTGTTACTTTAATATTTCAAAGGTAACTCAATAATAAAATTTTCGTTACATTAATTTAATTTTTGTTACATCAATAATAAAATTTATAATAAATATTAATTACTATAAATAATAAAGGAACAGGTGAATTTAGTTCATATTTTGCCCTCTTAACAAAAATTTCTTTAGAATCAGTCCCTTCAGTACTTTGCCCAAAACAATCAATACAGACATATTTAAAAATCAAGACTCTATTTATAAAATTTTGTAAAAATTACAAGTTTTAAATAATTTCATCACTAATAATACTTACTTACTGAACACTAAAAATTACAATAATCTACACATAATAATACACTGTTTATTCTATAAAATCCATTATATTAATTCAATATTGTATTAAACATGACTCAAAAATTAAATCTGTATTATACATACTCACAAGTATTAATAAAATAATAACAATAATAATAATAAAGAAATAATAAGCAAATAATAAAGAAATAAACTTATGATTAAAATGAAAATTAACAGTAACGTCTCAAAAACTTTGTTGCAGTACAATGCCTCAAAAAAATCAGTACAGACACGCTCACAAATCAATACCGCACAGATAACATTTTTTGCAAGTGTTCACTTAACTTTGAACGGCACAGTATACTTCATCCGAGAATTACGTAAAAAAAAACCTACCGATAGTCGCGATTTTTCATTTGGCTACGACTCGTTTCGTTCATCAACGATATTAAATTTTTTCCCTCGAAGGCAAACAGCATGGTTTCCGATGAAAACTCTGTATGACCTTTTATTTCCAGCAATTTCAAGATTGGCTACAATCTGTCAAGGATATATTGGGACCCGGCGCATACAGCCACTGGCTCGAGGAAATTTTGTCCTCGAGAGGCGAAGAATTTCGAAAATGGCTACGAGCTTCACACGTCGACAAGCTGGATAGCGAGAAACCGATATTTCCAGGAGGAGACCGACCACAGGACCAAGCACCGCATGTCCTGACGGAAAATCGATATCCTGATGTCCTCGATACGCTGGTAAAAAGCATGGTACTTTGATTGAAAATCGGGTAGAGTGACAGAAATTGCTATTCCTTCGTCTTAGCATACTTAAGTTTGCAAGCTAAAACTTGTAGAATATTAAAATCGATAAATACGAGGAAATGTATATTAATAAATATATCACAGTCAGGTTATCGATTTTGATAAAGTTTAAATCTGGAGCAATCATATTTGGTCATTTTTGACGATACTATTTGAGAGGATATGAAGGAATTAATTTCTAGATTTTCAGAAAATTAGCAGAATTTTAAATTTATTACAAGCAAATTAGTCATGATGGTAGAAGGAGTAGCGAACTCAAATCTTCTTGCAATCAATTTTTATCTGCTTTTACACACTTTATACTTAAGTATACAGGGTGCTTCACAATTAGTGTAGGTCTCTGAAAAGGGAAGTGGCTGACGTGATTCTGAATAAGATTTCCCTTTGCAAAAATGGGTTTTGAAGCTTCGTTTTTGAATTATTAAAGAAAAACGCGGACCAATCAGAGCGCGGGGGCGTGCATAGGCGCGAGACAGCTTTGATCTTAGCGGCTGAGCGCGCGTAATTCTGATTGGTCCGTGTTTTTCCTTAATAATTCAAAAACGAAGCTTCAAATCCCATTTTTGCAAAGGGAAGTCTTATTCAGAATCACGTTAGCTACCCCCCATTTCAGGGACCTACACTAATTGTGAAACACCCTGTACATTTAACCCCTTGAAGTATTATACATTGACGAGTCTGACTCGTGATGCATTTATGGTTCAAATGCAGCACTTACTTGACTATTTAATTCATTTCAATTTGAAGTCTAATTATAATTTATGTAGTCAAAGATCAAATACAGAATAGTCACATTTTGACTTTGTTTATTGATTTTAATATTCTTGCAAATAATAGTTACTTGTGACTGACGGACCTGACTAATCATATCGCAAGGGGTTAATATTATGTTACAAAATAAAAACGTAACCAAAACCCCTACAAATAAATACTATATGAGATCTTCCAAAATAAAAATTAAATTGACAATATCCTAAATTAATAAAAATTATGTTAACTTCAGAATGAAATAATTGACTATTAAACTAACTAATTATACAAAATTATTTATTACAGACCACTCCTTCAGAAAATTCAAGTACGAAGAATGAAGAAAACTTTCTCGCGAACGAAAAGAATATAACAAGCGTTATAGAAAATCTTCTCATTTCCAATAAAATTTTGGAGACCGCTCTTCTGGATAATCTTAGGCAATCCAATCGATCGCCGTTCCTCGATTACATTTTGAAATATCCTCTGCACGCGGGGGAGCTGAATTTATCTTCTTTATTACCGAAGAATAAAAACATGTATGAACAACCCTACTTTGTGTTTCCCGTGGGACACATAAAAGTCACTGAAAGTTCTATGTTCGACGATCAGGACTCTCGTTCTCATGGTGATTCTCCAAATCAAAATGGAAGGAGAGTACAAAATGGAGAGACGTTAGGACGGGGCAATATTAAACATACCGTAAGTGTTTCTGCTTGATGAGTCAACTTTATAGGATTTTATTTTTTGTAATTTGTTTGAATAAGTATAAATATAAGACTTCATTGTTATATTCGTAGTTGATGTGTTTAATGGAGTATAAATGTAAAATTTTGTTGTTATTTTTATAATTGATATACTGGAGGAAATATAAATATAAAGCTTCATTATTATATTCATAGTTGATGTGTTTAATGGAGTATAAGTGTAAAATTTTGTTGTTATTTTTATAATTGATATATTGGAGGAAGTATAAATAAAATATATTATTGTTATTATAATAATTAATATAGTTAATGAAGTACCTATATATAAAATTTTAATACTATTATGATAATTCATGTACAAAGTATAAATATCAAATTTTCTTACTATTTTTATGATTGATACATTCAAAGAAGAAAAAATATAACATATTATTGCTATTACAATAATTTATGTAGCTAATAAAATATAAATACAAAATTTTATTGTTACTGAAATTTTATTTATTTAAAATTTGTTGTAACAAAATTTATTGTAATTAAATTTACTAAATTTTATTGTAACTCCAATAATTGCAATTTTTAATGAAATATAAATATAAAATCTTGTAACTATTTAATTCATATGTTCAACGAAATTCAAATGTAAAATTTCGTTGCTATTTTTGTAATAGAAACGTCCAACTCAAAATATAAAATTTCACTGTTACATTTATAACTGACATGTTCAGTGAAACATAAATATTAAATTCTTTTATATCTGCACATATTGTTACACGTACAATAAAATGAAATCAATACTTTTATTATTTAATTGATAATTATTTTTATTGAAAGCAATTTTTAACAAAAAAATATTACTGTTTTTAAACGAGGTTCAAAATTGCATATTTTTTTTTTAAAGAATGTTTCAGAGTTGTCAAGAAACTTGACAGTTCTCGAAGAAAAAATATACGAAGATTTTAAAAAAACCCAGGAAGAAAAGCATAATATTGAAAATCCTGTGAGTCTTCCTGAAGATATTAAGTTGTTAAATAAAAATCAATATTTTGATGAAATTTCTACAGATGCATTGGAAAAATTGATTAAATCTTTCCAATTTTCATCGATGGGAGATGTACATCATACTTTCAACGATAAACCTTTTGGAAGATATGAACAGAATGTAAGTTTTACAAAATTTAATTTTCAAAAATAGCTAAATTTTAAAAAAGCTATGTTTTCTTCATAAAATTTCATATTAAGCAATTTAACTTTAACTATTTATAAATACTGTACAAAATATTTAACTTGTTATTAACAATTTAACACGAATTAAAATTCTGTATTTTGCGATTAAAGACTCCTTTTCAGATCCCGCCAGAAATTGTACAAAATGGAGGACACTACAGAAACGAAAATGAGAAAACTGATCACAGAAATAAGCTAAACAATCAAACTTCTACAGAAAATCCAAAACGTTTTATTTATAACAACAAAAATGATAACTTCTCACCGCATTTAGAATCAAACATCTCTTTAGATGGACCAGGTAAACTACTTTTATAATTTATAATTATACTTTCACTATATTATCTATCTTTCGTATTTGTATACTTTCACTACATTATCTATCTTTCGTATTTTCGTATTCGTATTTCTGCTTTTAACTTTCATTAAATAACATGATTTACAATTTTATAATTTTACTTTTTTACTACATATTTTTCTAGTTATTAAATATAATTAATAATACATGAAAGTTGGAAATTTTGAGATTTGTAAAATTGGGAAAATGAGGATTAGATATTGGTGATAAAACGATACACGAATTAACATTTACATTTGTCTCCATCTAACGGAATTAATCATCATTAATATTTCTTCTTACATTCGCATGTTTCGTTTCAATTTTGTTCTCTGATTTTCTTCACGTAATTGAATTGTGCATTTTTGTAATCGTTCTTGAATAAATAGTTTACTCGTTCTATATATAATTTATTACGACACTTTATTCGACCAAGGATCTCCTCGCCTTCAACATAAGATAATTAGAAAAATTAAAAATTTGAGAAATTGGAAATTTGATGATTCAGAACCGTGAGTTCAGAATTTGAAAATTAAAGAATTTGAAACTTAAAAATTAGAAAATTTTGAATTTGACAATTTGGAAATGTTAAACTTCCAAAGATGTAGAGGCCTACAAAGATTAAGTATAGTAATTTCAAATTTGTAAATTTAACAAGGCTTCAGAAATTTTCCATATATTTTTAGAAATTAATCCTTGAATGTTCTAACGTGGAACTCTGCATATAAGTCAATTTTAGACATATGTAGAATAGTTCACATATTCCATACAATTCTTGCCCTCCTACATCGCCATTTTCTCTGAAAACATCCCACTATATTCCAGTGTTGTACATCACATTAACATACCCATATATCACCACAATAAATTTGCTATTCCCAATTCAAGATCCAAATCTACAACTAATAATTTCAATTTACTCTGCAAATTTATTTCTCTTAATTCTGACAATTATCCAAAAATTTCTCTAAGAGCCATAGAAGTTGAAAATCTTATTCAACCATACCAGAAGAAAATCTTTCTGAACTCTCAATCGTCCTTTCACAACATTCAAACTCATTTCCAAATCACCCACCAAACATCGATATTTAGTTTCTCAAAAAATTGAGGTCGAGTTCATGAGAAAACGCCGGTTTGTTACAATTTCACGCATACAAATGAAGGAAAGTCATTACGTGTCCAGCGTTTTGCTTTCTTTTTATCAGCCTCCGGCTGTCAATTAAAGCATTTAAGATCGTTAGCCTAACGATTTGAATTTAGAAGTCGTTGTTGGTCGCTCGTGAAATCGAAGTGCAAAAAAATGCTGGACAACGATCCCAAACGACCGTGATAACCAGAAAACCCGGTTCGGCCGAGCAATTTTATAACTGACCACATACAGTGAGAAAGTATTTGTACCCTCTGAATTAATGACTGGTCATGCATGTTACTGGTTTATACACGGTGTTGGAAATTCACTTTTTATGAGGGACGTTCTAGACAAAACGCGGTATTTGGATATTTTACGTAATCACTCGTCATCTGCTGTTGTTGGATTACAATTACGCAATATTACCATTTGCGACGGGACAACCATCTTACATGTAAAGACAACGCTATGAAGAAATAGTTGTTCTTTAATCGCTAATGCTTGGTAAACACGTTGGGCATCATGTAACTGCTGGTAAAACCGGATAAGCTAATTCTGTGTATTTTGGTGCAGTAGTGAAGAGTACTTGTTCATCTTTGTCTTTCTGTTCCGTCTTCTAAGTGGAGATGTAGATTTACGGCTTAGAAAAAATACTTCGTATCTTTATGTATCATAAATGTTTGCAATAATTTTATTATTCATGTCGGGTGTATGTTGTGGAGATACGATGTTGATTTACAGCTTAGAAAAAGTACTTTGTATGTTTGTGTTATAAATATTTGCAGTAATATTATTTTTCATGTCAAGTGTATATTATTTATATATTATATTGTACGCTATTCAACATTAATTTACACTATTAAAATTATACGTAGGTATTTGTCAAATATATGAAATTGTAATTATGGATGCATTTTCTCGTTTGAGGTTATGTAAGGTTTTTTCAAAATGGCGGTACAACAGGAAAATGGGTGAATCAACAAGAGAAAATAAGTAAAATATGTGCAATAAAATGTGTACGTATATGTTCTTATTTTCAAGAAAATTGAATTTGAACGTTTTTGAAGTATTTGTAAAAAAGTTTATGTAGAAGTGTAAAAAGTGTAGAAAATGATAAAATCAGCATATTATTAAAATATGAAATAGAACATCAACATATTCCACAGTAAACAAATATCATAAATTAACATTGCTGAAATAGGTTTAATACTTTATATTACTTTATTACGTTTGTTACTCATGTGTGTTCATGGCATCGACTAAATTCGTCACATTAAACATTACATCAACAATGTTGCAAAAAATAATTGATAACAAACTTTAGTAGTGCACTGAAATGTTTTTAACTGCATTTCTTAGAACAGAGAATTTAATTGCTGCTTCAAAGAGATACGTAAACTTGAACAACAATTTGCATGAAAATGCAGGAAACATAAAATTTGAAGCACATTTTGTATCGAGCACTCTGATCTCACAATTGCAAGCTTGTTAACTTAATTCTTCTAGAAACGTTGCAAAATGAATAGCAACATTCTTTGTTACTTCATAAAAAAAAAGAAAAACCTTAAATTTTTTAAATAAATAAATTTTCATACTAAAACTGAAAAATAGAAATACTTTGTACATTATAATTAATGATACCTTCTAACAATAACTAAGAAATACTCCTTACTTCATTATAATAGAACTAAAAGTGTTGTAATAAAAATGTAGAATTCTTTAAATAAATAAATTTTCATACTAAAACTGAAAAACAGAATTAGATTGTATATTACAATTAATGATATCTTCTAACAATAACTAAGAAACACTCCTCACTTCATTATAATACAACTAAAATTGTTGCAACAAAACAAATTCAATCATTAAAATTTTAAATTTCAGATTCATTCTCAAAATAAATTTGTTCAAACAAAAAAATGCCCCTAAAACAAGTTCCCCATAAAAATCGATTTTATTACCAACATAACATCGTAAAATCGTTATATAATATTTAATAAACAATTAGGTATTCCCGTTTAGAAGAGCAATTACAACGGCCTTGCTTGATTTAGGAATACGAAGAAACCGTTTATCTCTCGTTTTATAGTGTCATGAAAGAAATAATGATCCTCGTAATTACAGGAAAAAAATCAACATTTGTAATGACACATCTGTAGAAATACTTATTCATTAAAATATTCACTGCCTGTATTTTACCCTAATCCACTTGTAAAACACATTATTCGTAACTTGTTAATTATGTATATGTCATATAATAAAAAAGCTATTGTATCAGCATATTAACCAGTTAAGTGTGTTAGACGACTATATCCGTCATGGAGATGTGGCAGAATTTTGTGTCATGACGTCTATATCCGTCATGCGTAAAATTTTGTTACAATTTGATATTTAAATTGTAATTTTGGCGAAAACTAAATTATATTCATAAATTGTAACATGTTTAAAATGTTTAGAGGTCAACACCAAATGAAATAAACAAATAAAAAGTGTAAATGATTTGAGATGGATTCATAAATGCTTGAGAGCTAACTCGTCATCGCTTAATTATCGCGACACACAATGGTGCGCGCTTTGCAAAAAGATCGCCACAATTAACTGGTTAATAAAAAATATCAGCAGAAGTGGTTCAAAATTTATTATGCTCTTATATACTTTCAAACAATAAACAAAATTGATGAAAGCAGCATTAATTTCAGGTAATATTCACACACTCAATCATTCGGATCAATTAAGCAGTATTTATTCACCAGAGGCAATATTTAAACAAATCAATGACGACAATATGAACGAAATGGATCTAAAACTTCTTCTGGAATTGAACAAGGAAAATTATCTACCTTACATACAAAACATAATGGACGCCATGAACGAAGAGAATACTTCTCTGATCAATGGGGAGCCCAATCAGGAAGAAACTTTAATGAAACACTCTTTTTTGAAGGATAATAACCTTCGAAGTGCTAATGATGCCTCCGACAAATCGATTTCTGAACAAATAACGTGGAGCAATGCTTCTGCCGATAAAAAGTTATATAATTTGAACGCTACATATGATTCGGGGTTTTTGAAGCATAAAAAGTTTGGTGATTCCCATCAGAGTACAATGGAAACGGTTTCATCAGGAGTGAAGGTTCGTATTTCCGTAATGTGATTGTAAACTTTTCGTCTTGGGAGATTACGAATTTGGGAGCTTGGTAATTAGGGAATTTGAAAATTGGGGAATTGTAGTTTCGACAAATTAACTCAACAGATTTTTGTACAAAAAAAAGCACGTCAGCTGGGGGGATCGGTGAATTGGGGAATTGGAGAGTGTGAGGATTGAGAAATGTGGGAATTGGAGAATGTGGGAATTGGGGAATGAGGGAATTGTAGAAGGTGGGAATTGGGGATTGTGGGAATTGGGGAATGAGGGAATTGTAGAAGGTGGGAATTGGCGAATGTGGGAATCGGGGAATGTGAGAATTGGGGAATGTGGGAATTGGGGAATGTGGGAATTGGGGAATATGAGAATTGGGGAATGCGGGAATTGGGGAATGTAGCAATTGGGGAATGTGAGAATTGGGAAATATGGGAGTTGGATAATGTGCAAATTGGGGAATGTGGGAATTGAGGAATGTGGGAATTGGAGAATATGGGAATTGGGGAATGTGGGAATTGGGAAATTGGGAAATTGGGAATTGGGAAATTGGGAAATTGGGAAATTGGGAAATTGGGAAATTGGGAAATTGGGAAATTGGGAAATTTGGAAATTTGGAAATTTGGATATTTGGGAACTTTGGGACTTAGGAATTCTGGATTTGGGAGATTTGGGGATTTGGGAATTTATGAATTTGTGATGTATGTATTTATGAATATGTAAATTTGTAATTTTGGAAGCTTGATATCCGCGAGTTTCTATATTTTTGAATTTCTACAAGTCCAAGTTTTCAAATTTCTCAAATTCTAAATATCTAAATTTCTAAATTCTCAAATTTTTTAATTTTTCATATTATACTAACAAAGGATACTCAAGTGAAACCTAACTTATTTTCTTATTACCTTATGTATTCAAATCTTGAGCACAAACCTTCAATCTTCTTCAATATACCCTTCTCTTGCATTAATACACTTGTCTAATCTTTTATCGTTTCTATTTTTCAAAATATTGTTTAATTTCATCATTTGCAATGTTCGATAGCGTCTCCGTCGCTTTTTTCTTCGCCTCAGCAACATCAGCAAAACACTTTCCTTTCATGTCTCCGACAATTCTTGACCAAAAATGGTAAGACCCCTGTTCCTCACCCCTATACTTACTCGACCTTGCACTGTACAACTTGTTTTTTGTTCCCTCGAATGAGAAGAGACATGAAAGGAAAGTGTTTTGCTGATGTTGCTGAGATGAAGAAAAAAACGATGGAGCTGACAAGCATCACAAAAGATGATATTAAAGAATGTTTTGAAAAATGGTATGAAAGATTAGACAAGTGTATTAGTGGAAGAGAATTTTGAAGGGAATTTTTGTGTACTCAATGTTTGAATAAATAAGTTAAAAATAAATAAATTCGGTTTCTTTTGTGTGTTTCCTGGAATACATATGTAGTGTGATATACAAATACATAAACTTTTATTAAATCACCGGGAATGAAGCTATAATGGTAAATATTTCTTACAATTAATAGTACATTAATTTACTCAAAAATATATTGCATTATGTTCACAAATTCCCAAATTCCTAAATTTTCAAGTTTTACAATTCCCAATTTTCCCAATTTCCCCATTTTCCCCATTTTCCCCATTATCCAATTTTCCAATTTTCCAATTTCCCAAGCCCAACTCCCAAATTTCCCAACTCCCAAATTTCCCAACTCCCAAATTTCCCAACTCCCAAATTTCCCAACTCCCAAATTTCCCAACTCCCAAATTTCCCAACTCCCAAATTTCCCAACTCCCAAATTTCCCATTTCCCAAATTTCCCAATTCCCAAATTTCCCAATTTCCAAACTTCCCAATTCCAATATTTCCCAATTTCCAAATTCTCAAAATTGGCTAATTTCCAAATTTCCTAGTTTTCAAATTCCCAAATTCCTAAATTCTCAAATTTTCCAATTCCCAAATTTCCCAATTTCCTAATTTCCCAGTTTCCGAATTTTCCAACTCCCCAACTTCCCAAATTCCCAACTTCTCAAATTCCCAAATTCCCAATTTCCCCATTTCCCAATTTCCAATTCCCAATTCCCAAATTTCCCAATTCCCAAATTTCCCAAATTTCCGAATTCCCATATTTCCCAATATCCTCAATTCCTAAAATTCCCTAACTTCCAAATTCCCTAGTTTTCAAATTCTCAAAATCCCCAATTCCAAAATATCCCAATACCCATATTTCCCAATATTTAAATTTTCCAATTCCCACATTCCCAAAATTCACTAGTTTCTAAATTCTCAAATTCCCAATTCCAATATTTCCTAATTCCCCATTTACCCAATTTCCAAATTCCCAGAACTCGCTAATTTCTAAATTTTCTAGTTTTCTAATTTGCAAATTCTCAAAATTCGCTAATTCCCAAATTCCTTAGTTTCCAAATCCGTAATTCCCCAATTCTCAAAATCCCAAATTTTTTCCTTCGATTGTTTTGGCAAATATTCTGCAATATTACGAGATCAATGAAATGCATGAAAGTGCATATAAAAATTGCAATATAACGAGATTCTGACACAGTCATAAAATATGATTTACTCAAAAATAAATTGCGTTAATGTTTCAATTTTGCTAAGTATTCTGCAGTATTATGAGATCAATGAAATGCATGAAAGCGCATATAAAAATGGCAATATAACGGGAGTCTGATGCAGTCATAAATTATAACTTTCTCAAAAATAAATTGCGTTAATTTTTTTCCTTCGATTGTTTCAATTTTGCTAAATATTCGTCAGTAATACGAGATTAATAAAATGCGTGAAAGTGCGTATAAAAATGGTAATATAACGAGAATCTATTGCAGTAAGAAAGGAAATATAAAACGCAACGGAATTTGGAGAGGCAGTACATGTAACATTCACGTTATGAGTGAATACGTTAAAAGTAAACATGTTACGACTCAATTTTTCAAGCAAGTAAAAACGGGATAAACCGGTCTTTTAATTTCAACAGCAACAAAATGATTCGAGGACAACTGGACTAATTTATACGGACCAGGAACCTACGATTCGATCATTTTACAGTCCACCGAGTTATGGTGCCAGTAATACTGACATTGGTGACGGAGATTACAAGCTTGAAACTAATGGAGAAGATTATGTTGATAAGGATGATCCTCAGTCTGTAGCCGATTATATAAATCGTAATTGATACGAACTATGGACAATTTGATTAGTATTATTCATGAGCAATAAACGTTGTAAATCTGTTTTTTATATTTTAGTAAGCAATGAAAGTTATTTTTTTGTATTTTAGTGAGAAATAAATTGTATACATTTATTTCTTTATATTTTATGAAGCAGTGAAAGTTGTAAATGTACTTTTTTATATTTCAATACATAACAAATGTTGTAAATTTATTTCTTTATATTGTATGAAGAAATAAACATTATAAATATATTCTTCTGTTTTATTAAGTAATAAACTTTGTAAATTTGTTTCTTTATATTTTAATAAATAATAAACTTTGTAAATTTGTTTCTTTATATTTTAATAAATAATAAACTTTGTAAATATGTTTTTTATGTTTTATTTAGTAGTAAATGCTATTGATATATCCTTTTTGTATTTTATTCAGTAATAAAGGTTAAAAATATATCTTTCTTATATTTCAAGTAGTAAAACTTTATTATTAACGTTTTAACTTTAGTTAATTTAAGTTAATTTATAAAATTAAGTTTGTAAATTGTAATACAAAATTTATAAGTTTCATAAGATTGATAATTTAACACTTCTGATTCCATATCAATTTTTTGAAATTTTCTAATTTTTATATATTATAATTACAATTTTAATAATATTAATAAATTATACAACGCATAAAACAGGTAGTACTTTACTGATGTGGTTGAATATTAATAAATTGTAATTTTATTTGACCGTAATAAATGTAGAATTTGTTCCTCCAAAAAACATAAACCAAAATGAAGCATAAAAGCAAGAGCACTTATGTAAGAAAAGAAATATACATATATCTATCGTATCATTAATTCCCTGTCATTAAGTTTCCCGTGTTACACATCCGTGAACACTTTCCTTCGGATCTACTTGTCATTAAATTTCAACGAGATCTTCTGAACCAGTAATTTATGAATAATTATTTTTATTATTACAGAATTGCAAGGAGTTCCGCAAGCAAAAAATGGGTTACTAGTAACAAATTGTTTTTCCACTTTTTCTCTTGAAATAAAATCGCTAATTCTTCTATTAAAGTTAATAATCCAAACATGGACTTCCACTTTTATTTCAGAACGTATTATCAGTCTTGTTAAATATTATTAAGATGTAACACTTTGTTATATCTGCAGTACTACTTTATAATGTAGCATCCATTATAAAGTTAAGTTGAGCAAAAGCAATGTTTGCAACAAATATTGTACTTAGAACAAAGTAAATGTGCTCATCTTTATGAAACGTGATCTAAATATAGGTTATCCTAAGATAACGTAAAAGAAAAGTAAGAATGCATATTTCCGGGATGAAATATTTAAAAATGTGCTGAAAATGCTGATGAAGTAATCTTAAATACTATTAGATAATTTATATTACTCAATAATATAGGGTCAATAATGAAAGGTCATAAATGGGAATTGGGAAATGTGGGAATTGGGGAATGTGGGAATTGGGGAATGTGGGAATTGGGGAATGTGGGAATTGGGGAATGTGGGAATTGGGGAATGTGGGAATTGGGGAATGTGGGAATTGGGGAATGTGGGAATTGGGGAATGTGGGAATTGGGGAATGTGGGAATTGGGGAATGTGGGAATTGGGGAATGTGGGAATTGGGGAATGTGGGAATTGGGGAATGTGGGAATTGGGGAATGTGGGAATTGGGGAATGTGGGAATTGGGGAATGTGGGAATTGGGGAATGTGGGAATTGGGGAATGTGGGAATTGGGGAATGTGGGAATTGGGGAATGTGGGAATTGGGGAATGTGGGAATTGGGGAATGTGGGAATTGGGGAATGTGGGAATTGGGGAATGTGGGAATTGGGGAATGTGGGAATTGGGGAATGTGGGAATTGGGGAATGTGGGAATTGGGGAATGTGGGAATTGGGGAATGTGGGAATTGGGGAATGTGGGAATTGGGGAATGTGGGAATTGGGGAATGTGGGAATTGGGGAATGTGGGAATTGGGGAATGTGGGAATTGGGGAATGTGGGAATTGGGGAATGTGGGAATTGGGGAATGTGGGAATTGGGGAATGTGGGAATTGGGGAATGTGGGAATTGGGGAATGTGGGAATTGGGGAATGTGGGAATTGGGGAATGTGGAAATTGGGGAATGTGGGAATTGGGGAATTGGGGAATTGGGAATTGGGAAATGTGGGAATTGGGGAATGTGGAAATTGGGAAATATGGGAATCGGTGAATCTAGGAATTGGATAATTTAGAAGTTTGGAAATTTGAAAATTTGGGAATTTGGAAATATGGAAATTAGTCAATAATATAAAATCGCAAAGTAAAGTATCAATAACATAAGGTCGCAAATGTTAATGTCTGTTAACATAACGTATGTCATTCGACATCCACACACATGCTATAAGATTAAATACAAAATCACTTCATCCGAAGCTCTATTTACTGTAACAATCTCTTTTCATTAAATATATTTTAGATTAGTTCTGAATATTCTAAAATACCAACAAGTGGTCTAAATACCGGAAAATCCATGGAAGTACATATGTATTTATTCCATTTGCTCATGGACGCTTAATGCAATTGCGGTCATTACCACACAACGATGTTCATTATACAACTAATAACTAAAGATAACAATGTTTCCATTTCAGTACTATTGTAATTTCGACAGATTAACTCTTCAACAGATTATTGTCGAAAAAAAACACAGCAGTAAAATTTTTTAATATGTTGAACTACAGCGATTCTTACTGATATTCGAGCACTATGTTAATTTAATTTTTGTGATACACAGATCATTAATTACTAGAATACTGTATAGTATAATATTGATAATGTTAATAATACTGCTCATATCGATAATACTGATAATATTGATAATATTGATAGTATTCTGTTAATTAATGATCTGTGTATTCACACAAAATTAAATTAACATATTGTTTGTTTTACCTCAATTTGTAATTTACAATTAAATGTTTGTAGTTGTGTATACTTGTAATTTACAGCTACAAGTCTGAAATCATGTTTATTTGCAATTTACAATCACAAGTTTGAAACCGTGTTTACTACTAATTTACAATCACAAATTAGTAATTGCTGTTTACTTCTCGTCTACAACTACAAATTCACAGAATGATACATTAACAACGTGACACAAAACACAAGAAACTATCTGCACCTCTCGATTTTTCTGAATCGTAATTTCATACTATTTCCACTAGTACTCGCATAATCATCTCTAATATGACACTTCAACTACTCCATATTTAGCCCCTAACCTATGTTTAGGCCATCTCCTCAACTCATTATCATATAAAATGCCTTGCATAAACATACCAACCCTCATATTTTCAATGACCTCATTGCAAGAAGTCTAAATTCTTATTCTAACAATTATATGTATATAAGAATACTCATATTTATATATATATATGTATAAGAATATTCTACAGTGTAAGAAAGAAAATTGTCGTATTAAAATTATTAAATATTACGCTGGGATGTAAACCATCTGAAAATCAGTTTTTAAATGAACCAAGTATTCACATTGATACGTCAAATTCTTGTTATGTAATTTGTTATTTACACAGTACGAATTAGTATTTAAAGAATATTTGTCATAATTAATAAACACAATGGTGATTGATACATTTATGCAACGCACTGTATGCATAGAACCAACGATAATAAAAATCATACGAAGCAACAGTCCTTCAGAAGAATGTTAACCCTAATTTTTAACTACGAGCTTAGATTAGTAAAAATAAAGAGGGTTGGTATAGCAATGCAACGTACTATATAGACCTAAAGATGATAATTAAAATTAGTATGCAACGACGATTACTCAGATAAATACTATTGAAAAATATAGATCATAATTTCCAACTACAAACTTAGATTAGTAAAAATAAAGAGGGTTGGTATAGCTATGTACCGTATTGTATAGACCTAAAGATGATAATTAAAATTAGTATGAAACGACGATTGCTTAGATAAATACTATTAAAGAACATTGACCATAATTTTCAACTACAAGCTTAGATTAGTAAAAACAAGGGTGGTATATTTATTCAACGCACTACATAAAACCCACTTCAACTACTCCATATTTAGCCCCTAACCTATGTTTAGGCCATCTCCTCAACTCATTATCATATAAAATGCCTTGCATAAACATACCAACCCTCATATTTTCAATGACCTCATTGCAAGAAGTCTAAATTCTTATTCTAACAATTATATGTATATAAGAATACTCATATTTATATATATATATGTATAAGAATATTCTACAGTGTAAGAAAGAAAATTGTCGTATTAAAATTATTAAATATTACGCTGGGATGTAAACCATCTGAAAATCAGTTTTTAAATGAACCAAGTATTCACATTGATACGTCAAATTCTTGTTATGTAATTTGTTATTTACACAGTACGAATTAGTATTTAAAGAATATTTGTCATAATTAATAAACACAATGGTGATTGATACATTTATGCAACGCACTGTATGCATAGAACCAACGATAATAAAAATCATACGAAGCAACAGTCCTTCAGAAGAATGTTAACCCTAATTTTTAACTACGAGCTTAGATTAGTAAAAATAAAGAGGGTTGGTATAGCAATGCAACGTACTATATAGACCTAAAGATGATAATTAAAATTAGTATGCAACGACGATTACTCAGATAAATACTATTGAAAAATATAGATCATAATTTCCAACTACAAACTTAGATTAGTAAAAATAAAGAGGGTTGGTATAGCAATGCAACGTACTATATAGACCTAAAGATGATAATTAAAATTAGTATGCAACGACGATTACTCAGATAAATACTATTGAAAAATATAGATCATAATTTCCAACTACAAACTTAGATTAGTAAAAATAAAGAGGGTTGGTATAGCAATGCAACGTACTATATAGACCTAAAGATGATAATTAAAATTAGTATGCAACGACGATTACTCAGATAAATACTATTGAAAAATATAGATCATAATTTCCAACTACAAACTTAGATTAGTAAAAATAAAGAGGGTTGGTATAGCAATGCAACGTACTATATAGACCTAAAGATGATAATTAAAATTAGTATGAAACGACGATTGCTTAGATAAATACTATTAAAGAACATTGACCATAATTTTCAACTACAAGCTTAGATTAGTAAAAACAAGGGTGGTATATTTATTCAACGCACTACATAAAACCAAAAATAATGAAGAAAACCGTTATGAAGCAATTCGAATAAATTCTACGTAAGAATATCAACCATAATTTCCAGCTGTAAGCTCAAATTAACACTAAAACTACCGACATTAAATGCTCGTTTATCGAAGAATGAAAAGGGAAATAAATAAATACTAAAGCATCAAGTAATATATAGAACTATTTTGTACCTCAAAAAAATTATGAATTTCCATAAAATCACGACAATAAAATTTTGTAATATAAAATGAGAAATCTGAAACCAGTCATTTTGACTGGTTGGTAGTTCTGGTGTTAATAGAAACAAAGGGGGTGGTATATGTATTCAACGCACTATGCAGAACCAAATACGATGAAATTAGTATGAAGCGACAGTCGTTTGGATGAATTCTATAACTCGCTACTTGGAAGAAGGGAAGGTAAGAAAGTGGTGGAACTTTTGGAATATTACAACCGCAATGGAGAATGGTATCGGGTCAGTCTGGTGTTGATCGTGGTACCGTGAACACCGATCCTGTTCCTAGCGAGAGTATCGTGAACGTAAACACGCCGGGGATCCTCGATGTCGATAGTGCAAAACATTCTTGAAAGGATAACAAGGACAACGACCTTCTAGAGGTAAGTTTCTTTCGCAACATTTGCCTCCACGTCTGTGCATTAACATTTAAACCCACCGACGCATAATTCACACACGGTTCAAAATTTAAAATAAACAAATGGTAAAACATAGTTACATTAATTCTGTATAATTCGATTCATTAATTTTTCGTTGGGTTTTATATTCGATAAGCCTGTATATTGGTGAAGCTTGTGAGTTGGAAACCTTGTGTAGGGTTTGAATGATTCTTTAGGTAATTTTAGGGTTAGAGTGGTTGTATTTGGTCAAATCGATGTATTGTCCTTTACTCATTTGGAAAAATCAAGAAATCAATTTCTTTTATGTTGCGTGGTTTTACATTATGTTTTCGATAATTTATACTGATAATGAATACTAAAACTACCAAAAGGGTCAAATGACCCCTCCACAAGTTTCAAATTATAAGTTACACAATTTCTTAAGATTTTAATCAATCTTTTAACAATTTGTTAAATTTTAACTTTTCGTTAAACCAACATTCCATCAAGTAAAAAAATTAATTCTTCTGCCCTATTTATTTATCAATTTCATCTTTAATTATAAATTAAGTCCTCATTATACTCCAATAGGTTTAAAGTTAAAGTTAGTGACACTAAACTATCAAACCTGTCGAATGACTGGTTCACGAATTCATCTAAAATTGCAAAAAGCACTATGATACTTTTTTTGGAATCCACACATAAAATTAATCTGTATATTCAGTTATATTTGATGATATAATTATTCATTTTTGTATCGGAATTTTAATTTCAAATTATGTATAATGCTGGCACGTTTAGCATAAAAATAAGAAAATTAAACTATTCTAGGAGGAACAGGAAAATGGTGAAAAGATGTTAGTAATCTTTCTAGAAATTATGTTTTCCCAATTCACTGTCAGGTTATCTCAATAATGAACTAATCTTGCGTTGTTAGTATAATGAGTAATCTTCTAAAAACTTTACGCATATGTAAAGTAAACATTGCTGTAACTTCTGAACTTAGATTGTGTCATAAAATTGATATTATCGATGAATATCGACGTAACTTGTTCAATTTTTGATTTGTTGTCTGAGGAAGTTAGAAATCTTTTACATTATCCCAATTTAGGAAATAATCACTTTTAAATAAGTTATTAAAACATTTTCGAGTTTTCTTTTTTTGATAATTACAAGAACGTTAATTGTGGCAGTTATTAAAACTGACGTATTGAAGAAATTACTATTATTTCAATAGCAGTAATGATAATTGTTTAAAAATTTCAGGGTGTTATTTTGAAATGTGATGAAATTTTTTTTTTCAAAATTTCAAAAAATTCAAGGAATAACAACCAAATAAAATTTTGTCTTATAATATCAATGGTCTCAAATTAAAATTCACCCCCTTATTTTTGAAACTCTGCTCTAGTTACAATATACATAATATTTATTTTATTTAAAATTTTTGAAAATACATATAATATCATTTATTTTTGTAACGTAATACATATTTCATACCTACAATTTAATTTATAATTATTATACATCGCCGTTTTGAGTAATATTTTTCTATCTCTCTGGCAGATTTTCAGTTTGCTTTTTGTAATATGGGGGTGGTTTCGAGTTAATTATTATTTATAAGTGTTCTGAATAAATATTAGTGCATTTGCAGATTAAAGATTGACATTAACGTATTATATATTAATTTTAGTATCATATCATCCACGTTTGACATATGAAATTTTGCAGAAATCTGTAACTTACTTTACTAACAATTATTTTCAATCGAAAATGTTAATAAGAAATTTTTTCCTGTTATAATGTTAATTTATAATAATTTTTCGAAGAAAAATTTATTTTTTAGTATTTACATATTACTATCACTCCTGAGTTCCAAATGTATTTCTTTTTTTTTTCAAAATTAAAAAAGTCTTTTTATGTATCTAGAGGGGTTAAAAACAGGTCTAGAGAAATGTTACATTTTATTTTTATTTATTTATGTTACAATACGATATATCATATGTGTATTATTATTACTTACTATTAGTGAATATATATTCTACATTATTGTTTACTATAAATTAATGTAATATATATTATTAGTACAAAAATATAATCAAGAAATATGTGCACTATAATTAATAATTACAAATTCACAACCCAATTTCATTTTAAAAACTATAAAAATTGTTACTAATTAGTATAAAATAATGAAACCAAAAATCATCAATAAAGATATTAATACTATCTAAAAATGCAAAATTCAAATAATTACATCAATATAAAAACATGATTTAATTTTAATAAAAAATTAACCACTGACAACACAAATTTAAAATTTGAACATTTTATATTGTTAAATTCATTTCACTGTCTACAATTTCCGTAACATTCCACATCGAACTAGCACTTATTACATAATGAGAACTTATAGATTCCTATTTCGGGCGGTATTTTAATTACCCAACATTTGCATCAGCTAATAATTCACATTCTGAGAAATGAGTCGGTGAGAAGAACACGACAAGCTTTTTTTTCTCTTCAAAATAGACCATCTCGAGGTGTGCTAGTCATAATTACGAGTTCCGGTCTTTCACGTTTTTCGTTGAACAATAGCTTCAGCTCAGGAAGCGACATAAATTGTGTAACAACGAAAGGACGACAAGACAAGAAGTATATCTGATACAGGACCAGACAAGATAATAAATAAGATCTCATCATGCAAAGTTTCGTTCTTTCAAAATGCTTTTCAAGTTTAGATACACATTAATTTACATGAATTTCAAATTCGTAGGATTGTAACATTGGAATCCGCTTTTAATACACGGGATGTCTCTGATGTCTCCGGTACGAATAAAAAAGGGATGATTTTATATGAATAAACTAGTAAAAAATATCAAATAATATTTTTTCAGCTCATCTTCATTTTTGAGAAAATTAAAATGGGAAAGTTTTCAAGATGTTTGTAAAATCATTCGGTAATAATAAAGGGATGAAGATTTAGGTTAATGTAATTTAACAATCTTTTGATTAATTCAACAAATAATGGATGTTATAAATCAATAAATATAATTGTAAATATTGTTGAATGTTTAATAATAAGTATTCTTTGTAATGTTGTTACCTGTATATTTATTATACTTTTAAATAAATTCATCACAGAGTACATTAGCATATTAACAGAACCATGAAAAATATAGTTTTACTGCCATTAATAATTGCATTTATTAATTTAAAACATCCACTAATTGTTAAACTAACTGAAAGTGTAATTTTGTGCTGTAAACACAATTTTGGGAAATATTTTAAAGAATCTTTAATTTCAATTTTTCTACAATATAAATTCATGTGATGTTTTATTGCTATATTAATTCATTTCTTGAAATCTAATATTTAATTCCAAAATTCATTTTTAAATTCATACATTAAAAGGAAAAAATTTTAATCAAGTATTTAAAAAAATGTATGTGTATGTTGAAGGGTATATACTTTTAGTATTACGAAGTAAAATAATTTTTAAAGAATTAATATCTATAACTCACGTATTAATATCTCTTAAAAAAGAAAATTCTATTACTGAAAAAAACTAAAATCTATTACTGAAAAAAAGAATTGTCGAAATTTTATGTACGTAATCAAATATAGCTGACAAATTCATTTTTGTTCGTGCGTGCAGTACAAACGTAGCTTCACTGTTTGCATAATTCAAGTTCTGATTCACGCAAACCACACATTGGGCTGATTTGAATATAAATGAAATTCTATTAAATTGAATCGTAGCGAGTACAATGTTACGTGGTACAAATTTCAAGATCGATTTTTAAGAAAGGAATTTAAAAAATTGAGATAGATAATGCGAGTGTAAAGACGGGTTGTCTCGTGATCGGTCAACGTTTGAGTATGAAAACACGAGTTGGTTTCGTGACCCGTTAGCAATGTGTTTTTCTCTAATTTAACAGGTATGTTTGAAAGTTAGGATGCTGTAATACTAATTACGCTATTGTAAATATCTATAATTTGTAACTTGTTTAATTTTGAAAATGTGACGACTAAAAATTTCGTTTTACTCTTAGCACCCCTGGCGCATGTTCACATTGTAGAAGATGCTAAATGCAACTGCGGCTTTAAAACACAAGACCTGAACCATATACTTTGGCAATGTCCCTTATTAGATTTCCAAAGAATCAATCTAATGGAAAAATTAAGCAAACTCGGTCTTTTTCCACCGCTTAATGTTAAATCCTTACTCCATACCGCTTAATGTTAAATCCTTGCTCCATAAACCGAACATGGAAGCGTGTCTTGCAATTTACAGCTTTTTAAAAAGAAATAACATAAAAGTGTAAAATGTCAGTTAACATAAAATTACTTATACTCTACTGTAAGCCCATAAATCTGCATAACCCTTTGTACAACTAACTGTAAGCCTCATGTACAGCTTTATAATTCTCTTATGAGAGTTTAACTTAAGCTTAAATTAAAAAAAAAAAAAAACATTACCACTATTTAAAAAAAAATTAATTTCATTGGTTAAATATTCGTAAACTGAAAAAGTGTAAAAATCACAATTTGTCGAAGTTTTATATTCACATTCATATTAAAAGTTTCTTTAAAAAATAGAAGAAAATTATTAAATATTTCGTTTAAAACACGTAGCAATTTTTAAAACCTTTTTATGCAATATTCATTATGATTTTACGACTAACCAAATCTGAGTCAACTAGGGCTATTAAATTGAGACAAAGAAAGCCTATTATTAAATCTCATATTGCATCGTAATTATCTCATTTTTTATTACTTACATATTACTTTTGTATTTATATTACTTCAGGAAACGAATTAATTTTAAAGACACTCAAATGGAGTCTATAATATTATCTACTATAAACTAATTGTATGTTATTTGCTCACATTATTCAAATTCTGCTTCTGATTTAATGATAATTATTCTCGAGCGAGCGAAAGCGTGAGACTTTTAATAGTTTTCGTGAAATATTCACCTAATTGATTTATGTAATTATACA